ATGTACACATGCTAAAAATTCCAGCTCGTTCTAGGACTACTCTATTTGGAACATTTTCCTGCCAGATGATACCAAAAATACGTCGGAGATAACACATATGGAACGTGTTCAGCTTCCTCTCCTGTCATGCACAAAGGGTCCAGGACTCACTGCAGTACAGGAATGTACTCAGGACACAGGCTCTATAGACCTGAATCTTGGTCTATGCCTTCAGCTTCTTACTGAGCCATACTCTCTTTGTGAGTCTAGAGAACATGGTAGCTGCTTTGCCAATGTGTTTATCCAGCTCGACATTTAGGGAGAGAGTGTCAGAGATCATTGAGCCAAGGTACACAAAGTCATGAACAACCTCCAATTCTTGCGTGGAGGTGGTAATAGAGGGAGGTGAGTCCACGCCCTGGCCCATGACATGTGTTTTCTTCAGGGTGATTGTTAATCCAAAGTTTTGGCAGGCCTTGCTAAAACAATTCATGAGTTGTTGGAGGTATTCAGCAGAGTGGGCAACAACGGCTGCATCATCGGCGAAGAGGAAGTCCCACATGCATTTCAGTTGGACTTTGGTTTTAGCTCTCAATCTAGAGAGATTAAAGAGCTTTCCGACTGATCTAGTCCGGAGATAAGCACCTTATGTTGCAGTTCCAAAGGCGTGCTTCAGCATGACAGCAAAAAAAGATCCCAAATAGGGTCGGCGCAAGAACACAACCCTGTTTCACTCCGCTTTGGATGTCAAAGGGATCTGATGCTGAGCCATCAAAAACTACAGTGCCCTTCATTCCCTCATGAAAGGACCTGATGATGTTAAGGAGTCGAGGTGGACATCCAATCTTGGGAAGTATTTTAAAAAGGCCATCCCTGCTAACCAAATCAAAGGCCTTTGTGAGATCTATGAAGGCCACAAAGAGTTGCTGTTGTTGTTCCCTGCATTTCTCCTGCAACTGTCTGAGTGAGAATACCATGTCAGTGGTGGATCTATTAGCTCGAAATCCACACTGTGATTCTGGATAGACTTTGTCTGCAAGCACCTGGAGCCTCTTCAGCACAACACGGACAAGCAGCTTCTTTACAATGCTGAGAAGAGAGATGCCACCGTTATTGAATAAAATGGTGCAGTAACTGATGGCTAATCTGGCTGGTACTTGATGACCAAGAAGAATTCTTATCTAGTGGAGAGTAATTTTCAAGTTGCCAAAAGAGATCAAAGAGTGAAAGAGAAACAGGCCTGAATGGAATAAACAGATGACTACAGAAGGAGGGAATCTTCTTATTGAATAGTTGGGCTCAGGCAACATGAATGGCCAACTATTAGACAAGACAGCCTCACTTTTAGCTTGTGACACCTTCTGTGGACAGAGGGCCACCTACTTGCTTTATCTTGTAAGTGCTGCATTATTTCTTGGTGTGATGGCTTTCCTTGTTTTCCTTGTGAGGAAACTGTTGGAAACTAGATTCCAACAACATTATCTCAAAATCTCCTGTGTGCTGCCCTTTGAATCATTAAAACACTGAGGTATTTGGGAAAGATTTTAAGAAGAACATCTAGAGATCAGAATTTCCACTTCATTCTCTTGAATCATTTCTCTAATTAAACTGGTAAGACAGTCAAGGAAGACACTATATAAAAAACAAGAAAAGTTGCTGAGTCTCCTTTTGTACTGAGATACAAAACATATGATGTCAGCAATTTTCAGGCTTCTCATCACTTCAGATATTAGTCCTGCCTTAAGAAAACCTGAACTCTAACAAATACAGATTCCAATGTTATAAATGTCTGGGCATATTTAACATAAGACACTAGAATGAAGCCAGTGTAAGGGGCAACTAATTCAGTGGACTCCAAAACTTGGAGAGTTAAAAAGACATGAGAACAGATGGCTGTATATAGGCAACAAAGATTCAACCTAGTGAGAATTATGTACATAGTTTTTAGGTTTAAAAACAACTATGAATTTCTTGAGTACTGTATAAATAAATAGCAATTTATACAACATTTTAATGGATTACACACACATGGATTGTATTGAGACATTAACAAAGAAATCGTAGCATTAGGGAACTTCATACTGCTTACACTCACAACTTTTTAAAGGTTTTGCCAATAATCCACACTGTTTTAACATCAGAAGCCTTAGGAGAAAGGTAATAAGCTTAGAATTAAGGTCATTTGTTTTGTTAATTTTATGGTTGGGCATTTGAACCATAAAGTCTTCTCAAATAATGGTATGGAAATTTAGAAGCACCAGTGTTATGGGGGGGAGAGAACACTTGTCTTGTTGATACAGAATAATATATCTTTCTACAGCTGATCCTATTCGATTTTCTTTTACACCTATTAATGTTTTTTCTAGAAGTGTGGGATTTTCCTGAAAAGAGTAAAACCACATTTTTTAAAAATTTCAGTCAAGGTGTTCCAGGGTGATATACGAAAGGTAAACAACATTCCAGAATCAGAGAAATACAGTGGTGCCCCGCATAACGAGCAATTCGTTTAACGATGAATCTGCATAGCGACGTGGTTTTTGCGATCGCAAAAGTGATTGCATAACGATGTTTTAGATGGCCAAAAATCGCTTTGTGATGATCGCTAAGCGTTTCGCTTACCGATTTTCGCAAAGTGATGTTTTTCTAACAGCTGATCAGCGGTTCCAAAATGGCCGCCGGGTAAAGAAAATGGCCACCAGCAGTGCTTTCGCGTCCTTTCCTCGCTTACCGGGCACCGAAAATGGCGGCCACATGGAGGATTTCCAGATAACTGTGAATTTTTTGCCCATAGGAACGCATTAAACGTGTTTTAATGCGTTCCTATGGGCTTTTTTGCCCCGCATAGCGACGAATCTGTATAGCGTTGATTTTTTTGGAATGGATTATCATCGCTATGCGGGGCACCACTGTATACAGAGGCCATGTAATTAATACACAATCATGTGATTGCCTCTATTTCCCTAAGTAGATTACAAAGTGAAAAATCAGTTCACACAAATGGAAAAGGTAACATAAAAGATTACCATCCATGACAAAACACTATTTTCCAGATGTTTAAAAAACCATATACAGTGGTGCCTCACACAACGATGTTAATTGGTTCCAAAAATATCAACGTTGTATGAAACATCGTTCTGTGAAACACCATTTCCCATAGGAATGAATTGAAAACCGGTTAATCCGTTCCAATTGGAACAGATTGCCGTCTTTAAGTGAAAAAACCCATAGGAAACATCGTTGAGTGAAACAATGTTTCCTCCATTGGAATGTATTGAACTTTCCGTCCAATGCATTCCAATGAGAGAAAATTTAAAAAATCACTAAAAATTAAGGACGACTCAGAACAACATCAAATTAAGTTTGCATAGGGTTCAGGAGGTGGGCTAACGCTTGCAAGCATTTAAAACCTGTTCCAAACACTGTAAGGCACTTTTACAGGAGCGAAAAAGGACTTCGCAAAGCCATTGAAATGTATTGAGTCGGCTTCAATACATTCCACTGGAGGAAACATTGTTTCACTCAACGATGTTTCCTATGGGTTTTTTCACTTAAAGACGGCAATCCGTTCCAATTGGAACAGATTGCCGTCTTTAAGTGAAAAAACCCATAGGAAACATCGTTGAGTGAAACAATGTTTCCTCCATTGGAATGTATTGAACTTTCCGTCCAATGCATTCCAATGAGAGAAAATTTAAAAAATCACTAAAAATTAAGGACGACTCAGAACAACATCAAATTAAGTTTGCATAGGGTTCAGGAGGTGGGCTAACGCTTGCAAGCATTTAAAACCTGTTCCAAACATTGCAAGGCACTTTTAAATGAGCAAAAAGGGACATCGTTAAGTGAAATTCCCCCATAGAGAACATCGTTAAACGATGTATGAAGCAATCGTTGTGCGAGGCACCACTGTATGTCTTTCACAATCCTGGTGTACAGTCCATATGGTTAATGGTGGCATCCTTCATATCATATCATCCTTCCATTTTATGACAACTGCTATCATAAAAACCTCAAGCGGATCACACACTAAAACAGAGATGGGCACAAACGTCTGGTTCAACAGTTCATCCTAGTTTATTTACTGTTGCAACAGGTGTTTGGCAGTGCAGCATCCTGCTCCCTCCAGCAAGTGCCCACTCAGAAGCAGCACCTGGAGAAAGTGGGGCCGGGATACTGCTTCAATGTGGGTGCCCACCAGAGGGTTGGGATGTTGAGCTGCCAAACACTTGTTGCAATGGTAAATTGATCTCTACACTGGAATTATACCAATGGAATGACTTCTATTAGTGGAACACTCCCACCCCATCCTGCTGCTCCCATGCCTTTAGAGAACAGGAGTCCCCAACCCCAGGTCCATGGCCCAGTGCCAGTCTGTGGCCTGGGCCACAGAGACAGATCTCCCACCCACCCCTGCAGAGCCCCTCTGTGCATGTGCATGAGTGCACTCCCCCACCCCTTCATGAGTGTGTGCTAGTGTCTCCTGAGCACCCCCATACATGCACATGAGTGCCCCCTCGCTCTTTTGTGCATGTGCGTATGCACCCGCACGTGCGCGGGGAGGGGCCTTCCCCAACCGGTCTGTGGAGTTAAAAAGGTTGGAGACCACTGCCAGAGAAGATTTGTGCATGGCCAGAAAGCTGATGTCTTCTTTTTTGATACTGGATTTTACCTTTACATTTTACTTTAGTTTCACATCCAGCTGAGCTAAAGCAATCTTTCAGAAATGCTCCTATATCAATGTTTTGTTTCTCACTACAATCTTACCCTGCTATTTTCTCAAAAAAGTTTCTCTAACAACTTTCAAGGATTATACTTCAAAGTGTTCTTGAAAACTGTATTTCATTTAAGGTGTAAATATCCTATTAATGCTTTTGTATTACCCATACCATGAAACAAATGCCTTGGAGCTTCCACTAATGGAAACATTTTTCATCTCGGGTATGAATTTTCTTAGTCATGCATAGCAGGATTTAAATCTTTCTTTTCCCCCAGAGCTGAGCTATTTCTTGAAACAGACTAACCTGAGCCTCCCTTCACCAGGTACTTGTCTCTTGCAAAAATGACAGAATCCAGCATTGACTCGAAGAGAAGGAAGTAGCCCTATGAATTAAGAAACAAACAGACAAATGATATTAAAAGGAGACAATGTTATCCACATACCATAATTTTACGAACATCTGTATTAGAATACACTTTGATTCAGTATCTATGAACAGGAAATATTTGGAGTACATTCTATTAGCTCATCTATCCTTAACATACTGCTGCCATCTATTCTATTTGTAACAGGTTCTCCATTTCCATAAGGGCAATGCTTGGGCAAGGGAGAAGTCCTGGGTAACTGTGCTAGTGGGGTTTTATATTCTGCTAGTGTCAAACATTATTGTCAAAAATGTCAAACACTGGAATTCCCAGTGTGGTGTAGCGGATAAAGTGACAGATTAGGACTCTGGAGAATAGAGTTCAAATCTGCACTTGGCCATGGAAACCTCACTGGGGAGTGGGACAAGTAAAACCACTCTTTAAATCTCTCACTTACCTTGAAAGCCCTCTTAGGGTTGCTATGAGTCAGTTCCAATTTGACAACACAGAACAGTTTCAAACAGAATTCCACGCCTAAACTGTAGTGAATATTAACTACAGGACAAGGAGATTAAACAGCTTCATAAACTATGGTTGTGGGTGATCACAGAAAAAAGGAAGGGTAATTGCCTTAGAGAAAGAACAAAGGAGTCGACAACAGATGTCCCAGCCAGCGGAGCCTACAGGCTACACCCTGAGAGCTCTTTTATATACATGGCATGATTACATAGTATGTTGTTAGAATTCAGATAGGATACTAGTTACCTAATCGTAACTAGGATTGGCTGAAATAACCCTTTGATCTTATGCTCTACTTCTAAGCAAAAGGGCAGAAGAGGGGGTTAACCCTCCTGCTGGCAATTGCCGCTTCCTTCCAAGAGTGTGTGCATGTCACTGGAACAGAATGCAGCTACAACCTTTAAGCAGAAATTTCCCACATATGGTGAACTCCATTTTCACAAACCACAGGGTATCTATGTTTGGACAACAAACTATGGTTAATCTTAACTTGAAATGAAATCTTCCATTGTGCTGTTACAAGGGATGGGGCATGCTAAACTCCCAAGGTGAAACTATGGTTTAGCACTGCAACTGAAAGAGATCATTGCGAGCAATGGAAATTAAGACTGTGCAACATCCACAGTTGAACTAGTTGCACCAGAAAAATTGCAGGGAAGATTCTGTACAATTTGGTAAATTCAAATTTTTACAAAGAGGTTAGAAAGCACTTCTGGAGACTAACAAAACATGTGAAGAGAGAAAAGTCAATTTGTAATGCCGGGGACATAAGGAGCAGCATGATTGCTAGATTAATAAGTTATTTTTCAATTCAGCAGAGAAATGATCTTCATTCAGGACTACAAATGCCAAATTCATATGTCATTATTAAAATGCTGAAATGTCTATATATAACAACAAGAAAAAGAGGCAGTGGATTGTAATCCACAAAAGCTCACACTGAAATAAATCTATTAGTCTTTAAAGTGCCAGGACTCTCCTCTTTTTATTGTTGTTAAACATGCTAAAACAGACTTGCACAGCTACCTTGTTGAAAAGTGTTAAAACAGGTGTGCTGAACTTAATATGGTCGATTTTATTGGGAAATGAAAGCAATCACAGTGACCCTAAGTTGCTCCTAGTCAGCAACCTGAATTAGTTTCTTCCTGTTAACTGCCCACTATTAGGTGCTGTTTGACTCTGCAGATGTTATTTATAGTATAAAGGGCATCTTTGTTGGGAAAAGCCATCAGGTTGTAGGCAATCTGCAGAATAGAACTGAAGCAAGCTCTTGATCCAGATCAGAAACGCATTCCGGATTGGCGACCCATGGCTGCTTTGCAAATAAGAGGGGTTAAGTTAAACGTGCTTGTCAAAACGTACATCTAATGTCTCTTGTCATTTAGCCCCAAGGCTGCTTTTTCCCCCCACCAGAAAACTACTCACATTTCCATAACAGTTAAGAGGACACTGCAGCTGTTCCCTGCAGAACACAGCAGTGGCAAGCTGTATTTTGTATCCCTGCTGCTGGCTCAATGTTTACTGTATTTTAACAGCTTTTTATTTGGCTTTGTAATGGGTTCCCCCCCTTTGCTGCTTTAGGCTATTGGGTTATAGCCAATTATGGGTTTGCATTAGCAGAAAGTACACCCTCTTGTGCAAGCTAAGACACCTGATTTTTGGAGATCCATCTGCACACTGCAGTTTCCCTAGCTCTTTCTGGGGATTGGATAACCCTGTGGAATGTGTGATAACATGGAAAACTATAGCAAAACAAAGACATTCTGTCTTGCATTAGCAAAAGGTCTTACTGCTACCTGAACGCCACCACTGAATACAACTTGCAGTTTTTATGATTTTATGTTGTTACCTATCTTTTGTGTCTTTGTTGAAAAAAGACAAGCTACAAATAAAATAATTCTATTATCCAATAACACAACTGCTCTCTTAATGCTTGCCACTTCAATTCTGCAGGCATGTTTAGCCTCAGACTTCCATCTGCACACAGTGTTACATTCCTGTTTGTTATTAAGGAATCATGTTGAATTAAGTCATTTATTACTGGTCTCTGAATGATTTGCTCTTTGTGTGGTGCTCATTGCTCTATGTGTGGTGCTCATCTCAGATGTAATTTAGAATGTAATTTCACAGGCTAGTGGCTCACCTGTAGGGGTGCCATCTGGAGACAGAATTATACCTGACATTTTCTCCTATTATGCTCTGGGACTTTCCTTCTTCCACACTGACAAGGTTCAGATTTTAGGAAAAAAACAAAACCCCTTGCAGTAGCACTTCAAAATTAATTACAGCAAAGGGTTCTGTAATGCACAGATTTGTGAGCAGAATATTAATAGTTTAGGCCAGCAGCCAAACTAAGACATACAAATGACATATCTGCCATTGGATGAAACAAAGGCTGGAAATATTTTGATCCTTACATAAGCAGATTTACAAGGGTTGTCTAAAATATATTCCTGCCCAGCTGGCAGAAATTGTTTTGCGTCGTAAGATTCAGTGAAAGTTAAAGTGACTTTAACACTGCTGCATCCAAGTTTAGTTTAATGTAGTAAATTCTTAAAATTCAATAAAAGTTCTTTGTTTGAAGGCCCAATTGTTAGAAAGATAACAAAATTCAACATTAAAGTGCTTACAAAGAACGAGTTCTGATAATTATACACCCAACAATCTGACTGGGTAGTTCAAACTTTTTTAACTGCGTAGTTCAAGTACTTTTAGCTCTGCTTTTAAAATATTGCTTACTGGATGATATGAATTTTATTATACACCATTCTGGAATCCAAACACACTGAAGATAATGTAATCTTTTAAGCAAAATTCAGCTCCTACTCCACTCCTAATTCTTATCTGTCACTGATATTGTTAAGGACAAAGTAAATTATAACAGGCAGATTCCTTTCTCTGCAACCTTTGAAGGGCAGCATGTTTATCAGTCACATCCTAGCTGCTCTATGTCCCCATTTGGTTTCTGAATTCTAGTCTGGGTATCTCAGTTTTCTTTTCCTGCCTATTTCCTTCCAGACAACAATACTGTAATGGCCATTCTTCCTAGGACACTTGTATCACAGCAGATCATCATGAAGCATTATGAGATTTCTTCAGAACTTCCACCATTTTCCCTTGTTTCCCCCCCCCCTCATATTTCCATCAGACTCCTACATCTTGATCCACTACTACAAGTATGGAATGAGCACATCACGCACCTTCTTTTCCAAATTTTCTTTTACAAATTTGGAAACTGGTCATAAACAGAAGTTCCAAAAAGAAAGCAGGTGCCAGTTACCTTGCCTCTGACCAAAACCTCAAATACATAGCATCCAGAATCATTCATTACTTAAAAAAAAATCACAGCTTTGCAATTGCCTTACCCACTCTTTCCCCTCTTCAGACTGAGAGATAAACAGATGCTAGACTTGTGCTACTATGCAGCCCCACCACCCATTGCTAAGTTCGATCTGAGGTAGTGGCAAAGTGTGGGTTGCCAGCACCTGTGGCAAGGCAAATATTGCGGGTCACGGGTCAGCCCTGTCACACAACATGTGGGCAGAGAGGGGCAGGAGAAGTCCCCGGGGTGGCAGCTCAGACTGGTTCTTGATTGCAGAAGATATCCAAATGCTTCTGAAGCCAGTATTTTGTCCTTCAAACAGGGCTCTCTGTTTATGTGCTAGTACAACTGCAAGATGGCAGTGATAAGTTAGAAGTAGAAAATTCTGCTCATGGATAATCGTCTTGTCTTTCTATCTGCACTCATCTGTTCCTGTAGGAACAGTTAAAGAATTTAGATGTGCTGAAGCACTTCATCCCAAGCGCATGTATATAATGCATGATCTTTCTCTGCAGGAAAAAATGAATAGTCTGGAGAACTAGCACCAACACAATGCACAGCTACACTCATTTCACAGTTAACTACTGCATGTAAAATTACTCTAATTACTGCAAAACATCATTGCCTCTTAAAATTCTGTACCTCAAGGGAACAGAAACATAATTCTGCCTGCATACAAAGCAGTTTTGTTCACAGACCATGCTCATGTTACAGTTTCAGCAACAGGATACCCAAAACATACTGCTCAGCTTCCAAACAAGCCCACAAGTACCATCACAGACATGCACATATTTGAATGTATACACAAAGCTTCTCAGATCTTCCAATCATTATTTTCCAGTTAGGGCAAACTATACTTAAATGCAAGACTAAGACCCTTGAAATAACTCCTGCTTTATCAGAATTAGCATAATCATGCTATATTATTGTTCAAATGTTTTTACGATTATGAATGTTGTTTATTTTTGATTGTGATTTTTTTGTTATTTAATGATATTTTATGATTTTGTAAGCTGCCCTGAGTAGACGCTGTCTAGGGCGACGGGGTATTAATCAAATGAATGAATGAATGAATGAATGAATGTAATAACTGTGACAATAAGTTTCACAAGAGGACAAGAAGGATAATAAGGGGGCTGAAAACTAAGCCCTCTTGAGGAAAGACTAAAAGCACTAGGCATATTTAGCCACAAGAAAAGAAGACTGACGGGAGATATGACAGTACTTTTCTAATATTTGAAAGGCTGTCATATAGAAGAGAGGTAGGATCTGTTCTCGATCATCCCAGAGTGCAGGACATTCCTGACAACCTAGCAGTTCGAAAGCATGTAAAAATGCAAGTAGATAAATAAATACTACCTCTGTGGGAAGATAATGGCGTTCCGTGTCTAGTCACGCTGGCCATGTGACCATGGAAACTGTCATTGGACAAATGCTGGCTCTACGGCTTGGAAACGGGGATGAGCACCACACCCTAGAGTCGGACACGACTGTACTAAATGTCAAGGGGAACCTTTACCTTTACTAGGATCTGTTCTCAATCATCCCAGAGTGCAGGACATGCAACGATAGGTTCAAGTTACAGAAAGCCAGATATCCTCACTGTTAGAGCAGTACGTCAATGGAATCTATTACCTTGAGAGGTGCTCCAACACTGGAGGCATTCAAGAGAAATTTAGGCAACCAGCTGGAAGATATCCTTTGATTTGTATTCCTGCATTGAGCAGGGGATTGGACATGATGGGCTTATAGACAAAGCAAAAAGCAAAGCATGATGCTTATATACCGCACCATAGTGCTTAAAACACTCTCTGGGCAGTTTACAAGTTAATTACTCAAGCTACACATTGCCCTCCAGCGAGCTGGGTACTCCTTTTACCGACCTTGAAAAGACAGAAGGCTGAGTCAATCTTGAGCCGGCTACCTGAGATTGAACCCCAGGTTGTGAGCACAATTTTGGCTGCAGTACAGCAGTTTAAGCACTGCGCCACAAGGTCCCTTTCAACTTTGTGATTCAATTATAAGCTGAATGGCTCCTATCTCATCTCTGAGAATCAAAGGATAAAGATTGCTGATTTGTATACGTTACTGTAATTTTTCTAATATGGCCGCTTAATAGTGCAATCTTATTCATGGCTAAAACAAATTATTTCCAGTGGGTTCTACTCCGAGGCCCAGCCATATCATTAGGCTGAGACAATTGCCTGAGGAGGAGAGACGGGCCTCGATGTGCCAAGAGCTGCTGATGCCACTGCTCCCCTTCCAGGCATCTTAGTCCCTATATTACTACATGAAACTCTGTTCAAGTACACGAGCATAATGATGCCTTAGATATTAATCTTTGAAACAACCCACATAGCTTTTATTAGATTTTGCTAAATTCTGTGAAGGAAGCCAGCCAGTATTTGTTATCATCACATGCCTGCTAAGCACCTAACAAACTGGAATAAAATTCACTGCCAAGAAATTATTCATTCATCCTTTAAGGGTAAGAAAGAAATATTATTTTACTCTTTCTACCACTATGCTTGATTAAAGCACATGCACGCATGCTAACAATAAAATATTTACTATGATGTACCCTTTCAGCCCAATGTCTTAAGAGGCATTTTCTCAATTAAGTGCACCATAAGATAGACTAGCACTCCTAAAACCTACTAGTTTATAAAATCAGGAAGAATGTATTTTTGTCAAATGCCTCTACATTTTCAAGAGCATTCTATCTATTTCTATCTGTGCCAGTCTCAAATTTCTTGACAGAAACCAAATTCTTGTCCAAGCAATGGGTTTTCTTAAAGGTGGCAAGAAAGCAAGACAGCCATGGAAGTACAGTATTTTTCCATGTATATGACCCTCCCCCGGATGTACAAGATGACCCCCTAATTTTGTCCTCTGCTGGAGACGGAGGAGCAGTCAATGGGCCGCCGTGAGAGCCCAAGCGTAGCTGCTCCTCTGCCTACATCTCCTGCTGCCTCTGCCGCCCGATCGCCTCCTTCAGTGCAACTTGCTAGGGCTCACCTCCAGCTCCCCTGTCCGAAGGGAGCCCACAAGTGGCACTGGAAGAGGTGATCTGGTGGCAGCAGCAGCAGTCAATCGGTCGCAGCGAGAGGCGGTTGAGCGCGGCTGCTCCTTTGCCTCTGTCTCTGCCTCCTGCTGCTCCTCCACCACTGGATTGCCTCTTCCAGCACCACTCGCGGGCTCTCTTCGGGCAAAGGACAAGGCTGCAACGTGAACCGGAGGTGAGCCCTGGCAGTCACACTGGAGGAGGCGATTGGACGGCGGCAGCAGTAGTCAATGGGCAACCGCGAGAGGTGGCTGAGAGTGGGTACTCCTTTGCCTCCACCTCCTTCCGTGTATGAAACAACCCTCAATTTTTCCTCTATGATTTTAGGGAAAAGTACTGTTTTATACACAGAAAAATACAGTATTTTTTTCAACTTATCAAGTACTCCATCACCTCTAGTGTATCAGGGCTACCCAAACAGGAAAGCTACACAGAACATTATAAGGTGTTCTGGGCATCTTTAACACAACTCATCCTCCAAAGTAACAAAAACATCTACCTAACAAACCTACATGTGGCAGTCTACTGACATGAAACCAAATGTTATTATAGAAGATATTTTCAAGAGCTTATACTGTAAATCATTCCTGTTTTTAGTGCATGAAACTTCAGGATGGTTTAAAATGGGGCAAACATCCCTCTCCCTTAGCTGAGAAGAGCTCCAGTAGTCAAGAAGCCTGCCTGCTGATAGTTGCAGAAAACTGTACAGGCATATTTCTAATATCCACTGAAAACAGGGTGTTCTGTGGACAGATCAGAGAAACCTTTAGATGTGAGTCCCTCCATCTCCCTGAGAGATGCCTAAATCAGGCCTTTCAACGATATCAGCTTAGTGTCTGTGAAGATTCTCAGTCATCCAGGTGAGGTTATCTGGAAGCTGAGTCATGGCAACTGGACTTCTTTCTTGTTAGGTTGAAATGTTTAGCTACTCACCCAAGTAGCTTCTTCAGTCATGCGAAACATTTCAACCTAACAAGAAAGAAGTTCAGTTGCCATGTCTCAACTTTCAGGTATGTCAGCTTAGATGTGGCATGGCTAGCTCCTTTGTGCTTTCAAATTGGGGGGAAATGGATGCCAGAAAAAAATTTATTGGGCTGAAATATCACCAATGCCACCCCCAAATTGGCTAGAAAAAAGTCAGCAGAGTTCTGAAACCAGTGGCATCGCTCCACACTGATCCTGTTCAGGACTGCTCTGTCTGTTGCTGCTGTTGATAGATTCATTTGGAATACTATAAATTTGGGACCATGTAATGATCTTTTTTTCTTTTTTGCATTTTCTTTTTTGCAAACGGTATCATAAAAGTTGCCACAAGGTAACAATCAGCTAGTAGTCAAGCACTGATGATGTCCTCAATATCTGGATACTTCAATATAAATTTCACATCTCAGCAGAAAAAAAATTACAAATAATTCAGAATTTTAGTATTTGAATTAGCACATTAGGCAACACAGTCCTGTTATTCAGACCACATTTCTTTGTTACATACCTTGGGAATGAAATCCAGAACAACTGTATATGCCAAAGCTGAAGAAATGAGTAGATCACTAACCTACCAGGACACGATGCTGTTCAATGACTTGCACAATGTCAGAAACCTCCAGTTTTCCTTCACACAAGCTGGAGAGCACCCTCATTGCTTTCAAGGGGCATATGGGCAAAGAGGTATTGGATATCTCCTTGCACAAGTTCCAAAAAAAGCTTCACTACACATATAAAACAGAGCACTTAACTGTATGGTACAGGGCATCAGGACTCTGGCCTTTGATCCTACATACTTAACACCACTGCAATTCCAATACTATGACCTGAAATGGGAGCATGTCATGATAACTTTTACTAATTTCACATCTCCTGATAAAGGCTGGTGCATTTTTCTTAACACACAGCTCATTTAAAACCTTACCATCCACTCTGATATGATAACATCTACTTTTTCAACTGCCAAATCAACATCTTCAATTCTTCCTTTGATCAAAGAAACAGTATCTTCAAGTCTATTAAGTCTGCAAAACACAAAGGCAAAGATATGTTACGTTTCTCCTATGTAGTTGCAGTAAGATGTTCCAATACTACCGTTAATAAATCATTTCATAACTGCAAAGAATTCTTTCATGAGACCAAAGTAAAACGTCACTATATATCATGTTTCTGAATGGTAAGCTATGTATATAAGATATAAAAGGTATTCATATCCATTTTTCTGAACCTAGCACACTGCTGAAATGTTTTCAGTGGAGCTAGAGGAAATCAGTCCTAAAACAACTAAGTTGGATATTCCATATTGGACATGTTTCTGAAGGCTTGATTTTTTCCTCAGAGAAAAATAGAAATTTACTATTAGAAGCCAATAGATCATTCAAAATCTTGGGGGACGTTCTAGTATTTCTTCCAGTTTTCCCCTAAAATTCCTGCAGCATCAAATGTAAGTAGAACAACACTTACATTTGATGCTGCATGAACATTACTTATCAACAGAATTCCTTTTTACATTTTTAATAAGAAACACCAAAAAGTTATAAAATGTTTCCAATAAATACAATTATAGCAAAACAGAATGACAAAAACAAAACAAAAACAAAGACAAATTACAATCTTATGTATTCCAATGTGAAATATATAGCCACATGTTTATGTACAAGTATACATTTAAAAGTGCAGGAATTATATTTTGTGTCACTATACTTTCTACTTTTTTATTTTTGCTATACAGGCTGAAAGAGATTAAAACAGCTACCTCCTTGAAAACTGGTTTTAAAAAGTATTTCATTCACTTGCGCTTCTGCTAACAATAATGTCTCTAGCAGCTACATGCAATAGTTTGGCTCAAGTGTAATACTGCAGCACCATTTTTCCCCAAAAGGTATCCCAGCATTTCATTTTTAAAGTAAAACTGCATATCTATTTAATAGGCAAGCCTGAGTTCAAGTTTTAATGGCATTCACTTTATCTGAAGTGCATCATATCAATCTTACTTTCATATGCCATTACCATGACAGTTAATGTTAGAGAGGACAGAGTAATTATTCACCCTAACACAATTTATTTCTCCACCACAGTTGCTATCTATGCCCTTTCTCCAACATTTATTATTTCTACACTCTCCCCACATCTGAATTTCTAAACAAGGGTACTAACCTCATTAAAATTATAATACATTAGAAGAAAAGCAGTAAGTATTGTGGAAGCAATATGCAGATGAAAAGCTTTCGGAACTCAACAAGTCTAGACTTAACATAAGATTTCATAGATGAAGATATTCTTGCAATACATAGGTCAAAAGGACTTACTAATACTCAAGCAACAGTTTTATTCAATAAATACTTGAGATCAAAAATTCATATATTTAGTCAGCTTTCTAGTTACTTTAGACATTCTCCAAAAAACAAGTCAAGGAATGCTATACATGGAATACACATCTAATTACAACAAAACATTAAACATTATCAATAAAAGGCAAAAATAGCATCTCCCAACCAGAAAGTAGACAATACGACATTTAAAAATGCAAGCACACAAGCAGGAAAAAGACCATTATGATACGTATGAATAGCACATTCTGACGTAACAAGCACTAACACTAACCTGTCCTCAGACTGATGAAATAGCTATGGATTGACAGCTAGGCATGCGCCATTTATGATTTTTGCTTATTTGTTTTTTTTCTTGGACTCCAAATCCCAGAATTCGCCATTCTGGAAGTTCCACCTGACAGACCCACGCCTCAGTTGAGTCCAGGCCATGCTGGAAGGCTTTACAGCCTAGGATAAGCTTAACTCTGGCCTAGGTTCCTCTTAGAAAAAGAAATTGTCTTACATTCAGGGAACAAAGCATGTGGGCATTATCCAATTACTGTATATGTCCTATGTAGAGCAGATTTACCAAGTTAATGGGATTTACACATGCTAACTTAACAAGTCATCATCATTCAACAGCTGTACTCTCATTGGGGCTACCAAATGGATTTTGCCATGTGTTGTTTGTCCAGCCTGCTTGCCCCCATTACACTCAATTTAAATGGTAATATTTACTAGACAGAGGAAATGTGAGTCACCATGTCACTGAGGAACTGCCCAGGTCTAATTGGTTCATTTCAGTATGAAAACCATACTTGGATGGTGCAGAATTATAGAACAATGAAGTTGGAAGGGGCCAATAAGGTCATCAAGTCCAACACCCTGCTCAAAGCAGAAATACAAACCAAAGGGTATCTGCCAGGTGATTATCCAAGTTTTTCTTGAATGCCTCCAGTGTCGGGAGCACTCACCACCTCTCACAGTAATTGGTTCCACTGCCATACTGCTCTAACAGTTAGAATGTTTTTTCTTATATTCAAACAAAATCTGTCTTCCTGTAACTTAAGACCACTGTTGCAAGTCCTGCACTCTGGGATGATCAAGAGTAGATCCTATCCCTCCTCTATATATCAGCCTCTTAAGTATCTGAGAAATGCTATCATATCTCCTCTCAGTCTTCTTTTTGCATGGCTAAACATGTTCATTTATTTCAGTCCTTCCTCAAAGGGCTTGGTTTCCCACCCCGATAATCCTTGTTGCCCTCCTCTGAGCTTGTTCTAATTTGTCAGCATCCTTGAAGTGCAGACATGAAGAAAGGACCTTAATACACCTGGACTTTGACTCTTATTCTTTATGCCTTTCATGCTAAGCAATGGCTGTATAAAACGTATGAACCGACTGGAGATCATCCCAATTTAACATCTTAGACAGAGCAGTGGTGGCTATTTTCACCTCTCTTGGCCAAGCACTTTCTGAAACTGGGAGGGAATATGTGTTTGTTGTTCCTTTGTCATCCAGTGACAAAGTATGTTTGGTGTTTAGCCAGATTCCTTGCTCTAAATCAATAATTCCCAACCTTGGGTCCCCATATGTTCTTGGACTACAATTCCCAGAAATCTTGCCCAGCACAGGTAGTAATGAAGGCTTCTGGGGATTTCAGTCCAAGAACTTCTGATCATCCATGGTTGGGAAATTTTGCCCTAACCCAGAGAATTGAGTGAGATGTCTTCTTTCCACGCTAGAACTAAAAGAAAATCATTGTAATGGAATGCCCAAGTGATATGGTTAGTTTTAAAATAGAATTCTTTCAGTGAGAGAAAGCCAGTGCTATTTCTCTCAAACACAACTACCAATACTAAACCTCACAAAAATAAACTATGCTGCAGCAGCGTTTAGGGGACTGTGCATGTAAAAAGAAAAACCCAGCCAATACAGAGAATGCCTGTATGCAACTAAGCCTTTCCTTGCTGCTAAACCCATTTGCACTAAAAGTGTTAAAAATCTCATGTCTGGCAACTAGCCAAATATCACTGGTCAACACTGTGTGGTTCAGTGCTGTTCTATGTCTGAAACAGGTAAATGTGACAGCTATTCTGTTGAAGCAAAAGAATGTAACAAGGCTGTTACAAATTGTTTTAATATGAATTAAAGACAAATGAGATACTCTTACAGTCAGCAGATGTAACCTTACAGCAATTGCTCATGAGGTGCTCCTTTATCACTGTCACAGAATTAGTTCTTCGGAATCCCCTTTTGCCCCTAGTATGGCATGCATATCAAACAAATCCCAACTGTCATATAGACAGGTATTTTCATTCAGTTACCATCATAGCAGAGGACCTCCTCTGCTCTTAGTAAGAGCACAAAAACATTAATCCAAATGACAATTTTCCTGGCACTACTTCCTAACACAACAGCTGCACTGTGGTGCTTCAGAAAAGAAGGCAAGCCTGAATGCAATCATGATGGTGCAACAGCTACTCTCTTTAGCAAATGCCATCTCACAACAGAAGTGTCATTTGTCATGTTCCAGAAAATATGATGCTGCTGTCATGACACTGATATTTCCAGTTGTGAGCATCTCAGTGTTTTGATGGTGATCTTTTCTGGCTTGGTCCTTAGAGCTTGACGTGCACCCAAAGAAGGCTTCACATCTGAAAAGAAGTGGGCAAGGCATAGCCCTGGAATTGCATGCATCCCAAAGCGCTCTTTCCATCCACTAGTCCCATCAGGATCTCCGAATGCCAAGAAAGGGGACTTCCCCAAAACAAAGAAGAGAGGCAGACGTAAACTGGCACTCCTGGAAGCTCAAAGGAACAGCAACTCACCTTCTAAATAGGTTGCGCTCCCACCACACAGTGTTTAACACCCTGGAACACTTATTTTACAAAACAGGAAGTGGACTTCAGGTCACTTCTGGTTTTGGATGTGTATCTTTTATCCCATTTGTTGTGGTCCACATGGCGCTTGTAAGGATCTTGGGGACAGAAAATTGGTCCCCATATTTGCTGATGTTGTCCACCCTGGATATTGTATGCTCTGACTTTATAAATTCTCATATGTCCCTATATGAAACAATATGAAAAAGTGTTCTATCTAAAAACTATTTCACCAGATAAGAAATCCTTGTGAAAAGCAACTGCCTTAACCCTTCAGGAACACATTTTGTTTCCCTTTCTGGAATTCTGAGAAATGCCCATATCTGCATCCATTGATTTGTTGCTTATGACTCTGCAGTGTGTTTAATCAAATGTTTTGCCACACAAAGCATGAACTATGCCTGCAATACTGTTGCTTTCCAGAAAGACAGCAACACACACTGGACAATTAGCACCGTTTCATATATATTCCAAAAGGATCAAATTCAGTAACAGCAAAATATAACACAACAATGAAATCTCATTCAGTGAATAACACCTAAGTACCATTTAGCAGACACACTGGGCGGAATCTGGTTACTTACCATAGTATGTCACACTTGAGTAGAGTAGGTCTACTGTATCAATGTGACTTGATGAGTCAACTCCTTCATAAAGTGACTTCTTTGAAGAACGTATGGACGAATTGACTCAACAAATTCCCACTACAGCAAGCAACAGGATTTCAGCCATTATTTCAACAGCATGTTACATGAGCAGCTAAAGAAAATGAAGGTTATTTGTTCTATAGATGTTAAAGTGGCAACACATATTTGAGGAAGTGAGGCATACTTACTACTAGTTGCCCTACACTTCCCAACTCTAAGATGCCCTTCAAAGCAGACTGTTCAGATATGCATTCCTTAATCACCCAAGTAGCATGTAAGAAACCAGAGAGATGTATGAACTCAGTAATACTGATACCAATTAAGTTGCTATCCTACATATAATCCCAAAGAATTCTATTTAGCTTCTAGCCATGAACGAAAATATAATATTCAGGAAAATTAAGATCTCTGGGTATCATATTGCAGTTCTCCCCTCCTTCTTGTAAACTACAGTATTCTGTTCTGCCTGTGTCAGAATGTATTCACTGTAATGGACGGCTCTTACAGAACTACAGGAGAACTGTTGTTTAAACCAAAGTTTCTAGGCTGTACTTTGCCTTTGTTTAGTTGCAGTATTGCTCTGTTCTATAGTGATACTTGGATAAGTAATGATTCTGAACTACAATAATGATTCACACCATTCTAATACCTCATTATCAAGATGTAGAGAAGAGGTAAGAACAATGAAAAGTACCAGTAGACAGTCTCAAGATCAGAGTTGGAAAAACTTTTATCAGTTTAATTAGTAGCACCAAGCGAGTGTCATATACTGAAGCCTATTCCGTGCACCATCAAAGGACCCAGTGTAGACATGTGTCTGTGTTCTTCCGTATCTGAGGTCAGCTTGATGTGCAACCATATTGCTGGATTAAACTACTGAGGCCAATGTAAGACAGATTTCTGTTGTTTCTGAAATTTGTTCCTGCTATTCTCTTACCTAATTATGTCCATAGCTTGATAGATAATTTCAGACTGGTCCACTCCTATCACCTTTTTTGCACCTGCTTTGGCAGCAAACATGGAGAGGATTCCTGTTCCACAACCAACATCCAGAACGATCTAGCAAAAAGAACAAAAACCAATTATTGCTGCAAAGTTATGTGATGCTACAAATGTATTGCATCTGAGCCTCAAACCATGTTCTTGAAAAATTAAGGTAAAATTGTTTTCCATTTTTTAAAAAAATAGTAAGAAACACAATGGATAAATTTGAATGTGAACAAGGCATACATCTCACAAGGCTGTACATACATGCAGTTTTTGAAGTACTGTATTTTTGCTACCTTCTCTAAACTAAATTGAAAATGTAGCCCGTATCTCAAAAGAAACACAAAGGCAAATCACAGGATGTTTATGAATTCATACTGGAAGACTGAAACACTCACATTTAACAATGTCAAAGAACTGGTCAGTCTTGGCAAACAAAATACCGGGGAACCCAATATCCTAACTGCCATGGAAAGCAACTAAATTCTGATACCAGAAAAAAATGGACTGGATTTTTGTGAGAGTTTCAGTTTATATATAACACTTAACAATTCTTCAAGATTCCTGGCTTCCAACGCTCCTAATAACTGAGAATCTGAAGCCAGGCGTTCTGTTCTGTTTTTCATGGCATCTGTTTTCTGGCTTATGTGGCATCTTGGTTCAGAAATAACACTAAGGATTTGCTTGTTAGCTACTTTACCAATTCTTACTGGCAGGAGTCAGGTAGGAACAATTAGACAGTGTGTGGCAACATGCTTGGTTACTACAAATAACTCACAATTCTGAATAATTTCGGCCTGTTATAAACTGTAAACACTGGCCTCTAGTTCTGAATAGCATCCATCTCTTTGGACCTTCTTTTTCTGGAACCACTGCATGTCTGAAGGGTGTACAGGTATGACCATGGCTAAGCCAGGAAAAGAAGAAATGAATGGACAGGTGAAAGGATGGGAAGTTAGGAAAATCCAGAGAAAGTAAAGCAAATGCAGGAGGACAAGGAGAATGCAAGCAAAGCTTTAAGGAAACAGTAAGCTTTAGTCCTTAAACTATGAACTATGGCAAGTTCTTAAAGAAATGGGAGTGCCTGACCACCTTATCTATCTTCTGAGAAACCTATATGTGGGACAGGAAGCAACAGTTAGAACTGGATATGGAACAACTGATTGGTTCAAAATTGGGAAAGGAGAACGACAAGGCTGTATATTGTCTCACTGCTTATTTAACATATGCAGAATGCATCATGTGAAAGGCTGGACTGGAGGAATCCCAAACCGGAATTAAGATTGCCAGAAGAAATATCAACATCCTCAGATTTGCAGATGATACCACTCTGATGGCAGAAAGTGAGGAGGAATTAAAGAACCTCTTAATGAGGGTGAAAGAGAAGAGTGCAAAAATGGTCTGAAGCTCAACATCAAAAAAACTAAGATCATGGCCACTGGTCCCATCACCTCCCGGCAAAAAGAAGGGGAAGATATGGAGGCAGTGACCAATTTTACCTTCTTGGGCTGCATGACCCCTGCAGATGGAGACAGCAGCCACGAAATTAAAAGACAACTGCTTCTTGGGAGAAAAGCGATGACAAACCTAGACAGCAGCCTAAAAAGCAGAGACATCACCTTGCCAACAAAACTCGGCATAGTCAAACTATGGTTTTTCCAGTAGTGATGTATGGAAGTGAAAGCTGGACCATATAGAAGGCTGACTGCCAAAAATTTGATGCTTTTTAATTGTGGTGCTGGAGGAGACTCCTGAGAGTCCCCTGGACTGCAAGGAGAACAAACCTACCCATTCTAAAGGAAATCAAGCCTGAGTGCTCACTAGAAGGACAGATCATGAAGCTGAGGCTCCAATATTTTGGCCATCTCAAGAGAAGAGAGGACTCCCTGGAAAAGACCCTGATGTTGGGAAAGTGTAAAGGCAACAGGAGAAGGGGACGACAGAGGACGAGATGGTTGGACAGTGTCATCGAAGTAACGAACATGAATTTGACCCAACTCCAGGAGGCAGTGAAAGACAGGAGGGCCTGGCATGTTCTGGTCCATGGGGTCACAAAGACTCGGACATGACTTAACAACTAAACAACAACAAAAGTATTAGTCCATGAAAGTTAGGATATTAGGTACCGTATGCTCTGTTTGCTTGCCTGTACATTGCCTATAAACTTTCTTTCTAACTTCATCTTTTACTTACAACCCAATACAACACTCTTTTCCCATGTTGTCTTGTTGCCTTTTTCTTTCTTTTAATAACGTTTTTAGTTAGACACCTTGTCTGTTTGACATGTTCATGGAAACCACTGGTCACCTAAATCGCACAGTCTTGATGTTATTCAGCCACAACTACCAACAGGTTTATGAGCATGCACAGAGAGAAAATGGCATCAGGTAACAAAGAGGATGGTGGTAGCATAGAGAAGAAATAGGAAGGAGTCTTCTCTGTTCCTCTGGAGTATGTGAACCAGGTCACTTGTCAAGAATTTCCCAGACTTGGCTGAAAGGGACTGGGCACGGTATCCTCACTTGAAAGGCCTAAGAGACAGGGAAGATTCTGCAGCAGACCCAGATTCCAAACTTTCCTGAGATTATAATCCTTGCAAAGATGCATTAACAAGAACTTGCCAGTTGACTTCTCTTAATGACATAACGCTTCATTTTGCTTTTTAATAAGAAATTTCATTTGTACATTGACTAAGCAATTGGATGGGAGAAGACAATGGGCAATCCCAGCTTCCCTATTTTTCTTTCTTACATGTTTCCATCCCTGCAGTTTTTCCCTCTCTCATTCCCAATTTATAAAACAGACAGGCAATAGTATGACAGAGAGTGACAAGAGATTTTGTACTAACTCTGGAGGCTAATTAAGAAACATTTCCACAGGTTCTGATGGGGAAGCTGCAACAAAGGTGGAAGAAATGTATGCACTGGATTGCACGAGAAAGAATCTCTTACCCTTTTATACTTTCATTTTCAAAACAAAACTTTATTTTTAAGACTTTGTGGAGTTGTGGGCAGGGAAGAGGGACTATGTTTAGAAAGAAAGTTTGAAGAATCTGTTTTAGGGAGGGGGTTACCACTTGGCAAGAAAGGCACTTTGCGTGTCCTTTCTTGTTGACTAAGAGAAATGCTGTTTGGCTATTGGCTATTTGTGAACCCCTCAACCTGCAACAAAGGCACTTGACTTGCTTATTCAATATACTACAAAGTAATCCTTAAGCCCTATGACAAAGTCAAGCCTACTATGTCAAATAGGCTACTCATCACTGCATTAACACAAATACATACATACATAACCTAGGTGTTTATTTATAACCCTGCATTTTCACACAGGTTAAACTGGCTAATATGAAGCAAAAAAGGCTGCAATGTGGACAGCGCCATGTACTTGGTCAGAACAAAGGTTCGAGCAGAAAAGAATTATTCAGTCTGGAAACATCTGACTGTGAGCTCTAATTGTACTCCAGTGGTGCCACTTATGTTCCTGTAATTAAACGCTTGTCAGGTTTTTTCATTATAGACCCCTTCAGCGATTTTTCATTTCACTATTAAAACATGTTTCAAGCACAAGCTAGGTATAGAAAAAAGCTGTGATGAGAATTTTTTAAAATTCCTTCAAAAATATTTTTTAAAATCAAGAGAAAAAGATCATGTTAGATATAAAGTACTCTTCACCACTGCATCCCTCTATATGTAGATTAGAAAATGTGAAAGATTTTCCACTAGCCAAACATTTATATTATGCATTCTGACTATATCAGTCTTGAATGTCTTGGATTGTATATCCTTTTGGCAGTACTGTATACTGCTTTATTTCACCAGTGTCACTGCAAATATATATGAATAGCAGGCTCATTTAATTTCTTACAAGCTGGGTGGTTTTTTTTTCAAATGTAATACCTATTATTATTACAGATTGTGAGTTACCATTAAATACTTCTGTATAAATTATCACAAAGTAAGAATAATGTTCCTAAATCAATACATCATCATATATAAGATAAATCAACCCATTTCACCTTGCCATCTGTTAGTTAAGGCCAACAAAGAAACAAGACAAAAGATATGCTTTATGAAAAATAAAAGGGAGACACTAATAGACAGATTTTAAAGCAGATTCAATTTTCACATACTAATCTTATGAAATCCCCAAATAGTTTTTACTCCACATTTCTGAAAGCAAGACTTTAACACAGTAATTGTATCTGAAAGCAAGACTTTAACACAGCAACAGTAAGTGCCCATTTGTGATTTGCCATAAAGCATCTGCAGGGCCCTGACAGAGAAACTGATGTTCCAGGTTTTTGCTTGGAAAGGTATCAAAAACATCTAACAGGAAATAAGTAAAAGCACAGGGCTGGGAGGATGGTCTTCATTACGCTCAGCAAAGTTGGGACACAAAGAAAAAATCAGAAAGATTGCCTCTTGTGCTCAAGCATGGATGGAAACGGCAAGAACAGAGCAATTGCTTGACACAGACAGGCAAAATTAGTAGAAGCAATCCCATTTTCGAAAGACTGTGCCCAAGCTGGACAAGACACGTTCAGCATGCTGAATATACCAAAATCAATCCGTGACATCTCAAAGATACAGTGGTACCTCGCTAGACAATGACCCCGCTATATGACGAATACGCAGGACGGTGACTTTTTGCGATTGCTATAGCCATTGGCAAAACAGTCGTTCCTAAGGGGAAATTCCACTGGATGTCAATTAGGTCCATCCTTCATGAACCGTTTATTTGCAAGACAACAATGTTTTCCGGCTCAACAAAATGGCTGCCCTGTGTTTTCCAGAACCATGCTTCGCAGGTCAGCCATTTTAACAGCTGATCAGTGCTCGGAAAATGGCTTCCCCTATGGGCAATCTTTGCTGGATGACAAGGAAATTTCCCCATTGGAACGCATTAAATGGGTTTCAATGCATTCCAATGGGGAAACTGTTTTCGCTGGACAATGTTTTCGCTTAACAGCGATTTCAGGGGAACAAACTATTGTCGTTGTGCAGGGCACCACTGTAGGTTTAGAAATATATGAGGCATCCTTCAGTCTCAAGAGACTATGGTAATGTGCTCTGTATGGAGGACTTGGAACAGCATCTAGTGTGGCTGAGAAGGCCAATTCGAGAGTGACAATCCCTTCCACACTGAAGACAAATACAATCTGTTGCTTGTCCAGCTCCCTGATTTTGCCTGTTTCGGGACTGCCTCTTGGCCTCGGTCCTAAGGCCTTCAGATCCCGCTTGCAGATATCCTTGTATTGCAGCTGTAGTCTCCCTCTGGGGCAATTTCCCTGCACTAATTCTCCATGCTGGAGATGTTTTGGAATCCAACCATCAGCCATTCTCACAACATGCCCAAGCCAACGTAGATGTCACTGTTTCAGTAATGTATATATGCTAAAAATTCCAACTCATTCTAGGACTACTCTATTTGGAACTTTGTCCTGCCAGGTAATACCAAAAATCTGTCGGAGGCAACACATATGGAAGGTGTTCAGCTTCCTCTCCTGCTGTGCACAAAGGGTCCAGGACTCACTGCAGTACAGAAGTGTGCTCAGGACACAGGCTCTATAGACCTGGATCTTGGTATATGTCGTCAACTTCTTATTAAGCCATACCCTCTTTGTGAGTCTGGAGAACATGTTAGCTGCTTTGCCAATGCGCTTATCCAGCTCGACATTTAGGGAGTGTCAGAGATCGTTGAGCCAAGGTACACAAACCTCCAATTCTCGTGTGGAGATGGTAATAGAGGGAGGTGAATCCACGCCCTGGCCCATGACATGTGTTTTCTGCAGGGTGATTGTTAATCCAAAGTCTTGGCAGGCCTTGCTAAAACAATTCATGAGTTGTTTGGAGGTCTTCAGCAGAATGGGCAACAGCAGCAGCATCGGCAAAGAGGATGTCCTGCATGCATTTCAGCTGGACTTTGGTCTTCGCTCTCAATCTAGAGAGATTAAAAAGCTTTCCATCTGATCTAGTCCAGAGAAGACACGGTCTGCATGCAGAAGATGCCAAACTCAATCCCTGGAATCTCCAAATAGGTTTAGAAATAATTCTGTCTGAATCCTTGGAGAGCTGTTGTTACTCGTACCAAATATGTATTAAACAGGCCAAGGATCAGACTCAGCACACCGCAATTTCCTAATCTGTATTAACAAAAGGTAATTCCTTCATTTTGTCTACCATACCCATTACATTGACCTGGAACTTCTCTGCCAAATAATGTTGTCAGCACAGCATTCATTATGCTTATCAGAAGGAACGAGAATAACAAATTACTGTCACAATCACATGGAATAGGAAATCCCATGAGATGATTTATTGCGCAGGTTTTGCATAACTCTGCTCATTATTTGGCAAGACTCTCAATTCCAAGGAGGTATCTGCCATATTTTATTTAATTTTCCTTCTCATCTGTACATCAGGAAAACAGAGCCCCACACACACTCCCAACACTGAAACTTTTATAGGCCAGGAAAAATTAGAAGGAAGCCACCATGACTTCTACCATTCCCAGAAACTGGTCAGAAGCCCTCTCTTTAAAAATGAACTCAGCCTAAATAGATTTAGGCTATTTTGTTTGAAGGCTGCTGCTTTGATAATGCTTTATAAATAAATCTATCCAATTTTAATCCTGACCTCATTCATCAGGGATCATATACCGTTCTTGTCCAATGGAAGAGGCTAAATCTTTGCAAAAAGTTTCTGGGTAGCTCACAAGAAGGCAGGCAAGATCTCTGGTCCCATCTCAAACATATGTAACTACAATGCTTCTCCCAAAATTATAGTATACAGTACATTAAAGTACACACACACACACACACACACACATCTTAACTGAGGCACTATGGAATAGTATAAATAATCTACCTGTATATACTGTAAAACAAACAGACAGACTGAAGAAAATGTCAAGGTGCTCTGTAAGGTATGAGTAGAAATGTATATGAGGGAAGTAATACAAAAGACTCAACAGCAGCTTCCATATAAAAGTTCATAGGAGTAGGTAGGAACAGAATGGTCCAGATTCTTGCCATAATTTAAACCCTTCTCAGTATCTATTCACCTTCAATAGTTCTTTCATATAAAAGCAGAATACATTTCCCCAGAAAATACAAATCCCGTTAACAGTGCGTTTTTATGAAGCAACAGCCAAACATAAACAATGGGATGAAAACTCTGTCCTCTGGGAGAATGCAGGTCAAACCTAATTCCTCAGGGATCTTGAAGATGCTTTTTATCATGCAAGGTACAGGTAATGAATTAACATGAATTAGTGTAAATAAGTGTGTGCCACTTATTTCAGGCACCACTTAAGAAGAAGAGACAAGGCTCAACAATGCCATGCCATCATAATTAATGAACTCTCAGGACAGCACACTGAATAGTGACAATGCTGATCAGCGTTTCTCTTATCTGCAACCTCCAGCAGCTGCATAATGTTCTCTGTGCAATAGGACCGAAGTGCATTGAATCATAGCCCCATTAAAGTGTCATTCTCCCAACTCTTCAGTCGTAGAGGTTTCTTTTACCTTGAGAGTATCACATACTGTAAGAATATCAACTATTTTAAAAGCAACTCACTTACCTTATCTCTAAAGATGTGGGGGTTTTGATATATGAAGTCACGATAGCTTTCTGTGCGCACTTTGTCCTATTAAAAAAGAGTTCAGGGAACTTTGTTCAATTCATGGCACTACAGTAACATAAAATGTATTAAGTTACCTTTCAATGATTCCCCACCTCCCATCCCCAAACAGTTTGAAAGGATTTTCCAGGCAGGAGCATTTTTCAGAGCAGAGATTTTTGTCCAAAAGGCAGCCAATTATCTTCTACAGCCGATGCTGCACCAGCAAAGTATCATGTGTGAAAATAATATAGAAGCTTCAACAGACCTGTATTAGTCCTTTTTGCTCATTGATATTGGATGTTATCAAAATATTGATAAAATATTGGTCCTTTTTTTCTTCAATAAGAAAGGGTTACCTATTAATATGTCTGCTTTTACATATGTTCCCAATTTTTTTCAAATGAAATGTTAATTGCAAGACCAGATGACTTTAAAACCATGCTTTTTCTGGACCCTGGTTATCTAGCAATACAGCCAAGACAACCATATGTATGATAAATAACTGTGCCGCCTGCGAAAACTGACAGCCTGTTTGACCTTGGGCAAGTTGCCAAGTACGAGGATCCCCTCACAAAGGAGGGAATGGTAGATCACTTCTTTGTGTATGCTATCTGGAAAACCCTGAAGAGTATCATCATAAGTCAGAATTGACTTGATGGCACATGATGATGATGCAACCACTGCTATTATTTTCAAATATGAAAAAAAATGAAACTTGCTACCTTGGGTGTAAATAGCAAAGGAAACGGTTCAAGTCCTTGGACAGAGTTGGGGAATGTGTGGCTCTCCTATTATGCTACTGCTACTGCCACCAGCTCTCATAACTGGTTTGTGCTGGCTAGAAATGAGAAGAGATGAAGTCCAGCAACATCTGGAGGACCAGCCATTCCTCATCCTTGCCCAAGGAGCAGCCTTATTTTAACTTACACATATACACCTGGAATGCTGCAAAGCTAAGTGACTCACAGATGCTTTGCAAGTCATTCTACAATATGCCAGGATCAGTAACAGCCTTCAGTGTTTACTCAGCGTGACTAGAGAGGTACTGGTGGTTTTCCAGTTTGTGCATCTAAATAGATGTAGTACATCTGTACGTGAGCTGGTTACATAACCTGCCGTAGCGTCCAACTAACATCATTGCTTTTAATGCGCAGAGGCAGGGAGACAAACTGCCAACAAGCCATATGCTTTACTGTCCCCGCGAAGAGCTAGTGAACCAAATGTCAGGCAAAAGAAGACAGGACTCGTGATTTTATTTTTAGCTCCTCGTGACGGTGGTCAAAAAACAGCATAAAGCTTTAAGAGCGCAGCTTTTTTTAAAAGGCAAGGACCTCTCTTTGCATACCAAGTGAACACTGCACCAACCAGAAGCAGTACCAAAAGGGTAAAAGGACAAGTCTAAGCAGCAACTTGCATTCCAGAACAGGTTATAAAAACAAAGTCACAATGAAAGCTAGATGCCCACAGCATTGCCCTTGTGAGCTGAGATTTATAAAGTCTGAGAAAGCAGTCTGAAAAGGGTGTCTCAGTGATGCCTACAATAAGAAACTAGTCTTTAAAGACTTAAGCTATGTGAAATCTGCCATCTCCTTTCCATAAGAAATCAATCTGCATGTTGCCCTTCTCAGGAGGCCCTGTTACATAGTATTCTGCCACGTGAAGTACAGAGGAGCAGGACAGGGGATCAACCTTCCTAGCAGCGGTACCAGCATGATGGAATGTACTTCCAGGGAGATGCAGCTCTCTAAATGGCCATTTTAAACAACCTTGCTTCTGAAGGCATTTTACAGCATTTTCCTTCACACTTTTAGCTTCTGATGCTGGTAGATTTTTATGATCAGAAGCAACACTACACCGAGTCAGACCAACAGCCTGTCTAGTTAATTATGGCCTGGCTACAGCTCCCCAGATTACAGACAGGGCTCTTTCCCCTTCTTACCACACTGAACTGAGGACCTTCTGGATACAAAGCACTAGCACGTTGACAGCATTCTCAATTTCAAGGGTTCTCTTTAATTACTGTTTCACAGTATTGATTGTAAGCTACCCTTAGGGTCAGTTTTAGATATAAAATGTGAGATATATACTGTATCTTTTAAAAGAAACAACGCTGGTGTTACTTATCATCTGGATCCCTTTTAACAAGTTATGCACAACTGAAGGGCAGGTACCTAACTGCTACAATCTCTTTATCACTCACAAAAGCAGTCAACTGTAAAGCTTTCAGACATCCTCCCTTTCTCTTACTGCTGCCTAAACCCCCTTCTTACCACACTGAACTGAGGACCTGCTGGATACAAAGTTACAGCATTCTCAATTTCAAGGGTTCTTTTTAATTACTGTTTCACAGTATTGATTGTAAGCTACCCTTAGGGTCAGTTTTAGATATAAAATGTGAGATATATACTGTATCTTTTAAAAGAAACAACGCTGGTGTTACTTATCATCTGGATCCCTTTTAACAAGTTATGCACAACTGAAGGGCAGTACCTAACTGCTACAATCTCTTTATCACTCACAAAAGCAGTCAACTGTAAAGCTTTCAGACATCCTCCCTTTCTCTTACTGCTGCCTAAACTTAATCAACAGATTCCCAACTGCTGTCTTCACTATGTGGATGGTTGCTCAGGAAAGCTCCAGTCATTTATTTTGGGACATGGTTAGCTCTTTTCTTCCCTTCATCACCTATTCTCCCTCTAGTAGCAATATGCAAGCACTGTATAGTGTTAGGCAGCACTATAAATGAAATGTGGACATCTTTTGGAGATGCTGGCTAGCGCTGATGTCAAGCATGATCTGGAGGACCACCATCTCCTCACACGTCTCCAAGGAGCAGCCTCATTTGCAGCTAACACATACAAAACTAAACTAATGCAAAGCCAAGTGCCTCACAAGTCTTTCTACAATATGCCAAGTTCAGAAAATGCCTTTAGTGCTTACTCAGTGTGACTGAGTAAGCCAACTTACTCTGCCAACTCCTGCGACATTGCTGGAACCAGTTGTATTGGCTCTTGCCTTTCCATTGGACCATTTCAGCAATGTGGAGAGGGGGGATCTGCTGCTTGGATAACAGCCTATCCTCCATATTACCTTACCCGGGCTTCATGCTCTGGAGAGGACACTCCTCGATTCAGAGCATGTTACCATAGTCTCTCGAGACTGAAGGATGCCTATGCATGAGTGTGACTGAACACCTGAATGGATATAGTACATGAGCTGGCTATACAACATATTTAATTACTGTTTTACAATTTGACTGTAAGTCACCCTTAGGAATTTGGAATGAACATGTGAAACATTAACTTTTTAAAAAAAGAAATCAGCATTGTTCTTATGTGCCATCAAATCACTTCTGAATCCTGGTGACCTTGACAGAATTTTCAAGGTATGTGAGATGTTAAAGGAGTTTTCATGGCCAGGTGGAGATTTGAACCCAGGTTTCTTAATTCCTAGAACAACACTCTATCCACTACAGCCGTGGTCCCCAACCTTTTTAGACCCGCGGACCAGCCGGGGAAGGCGGGGCACCACCACGCACACACATGTGCGAAGGACAGCATGCGTGCTTTCACGCAGGCATGCTTGTGCACATGTGCAAAGGAGCAGGGACACCCATACAGGCATGCACACTCATGCACAAAGGGCGGCACAACACTCGTGCAAGTGCACCCATGTGCAGGCGCAAACAGGCTGTGCGGGGGGAGTGCGTGTGGGGGTGGTGGGGGAGGTCTGTTTCCACAGCCCAGTCCAGCTCAGGCCACAAACTGGGCGCTGGGGACCTCTGCACTAAGGCACACTTGTTCTCAAGCACTACAAACTACAAACAATTTGGAAGTAACATAGTTAAAGGTAATTCCATTATCTACAATGAAAGCCAATTTACCAAAGTTGTTGCTTTAAAAAAGATTATATGATAACTAATAAGGGATAGATTTCTTCAGTATGACGAATGAAAATGTCAGTTTTTAAGGGTAATTTTTAAGATTTGGCATTATTTTTACACTTAAATTGATTATTTTTAAACGGCAGCTGAATATACCATTGTAATAATGGTAACATAACTCTTTATTTTTCTACTGGAGTGTTGCATTAATGAACTACTTCCTTAAAATAAACAAATAACCTTATGAGCAGCTCTTGATAAGCAGAACTGAGGCGGCCTTTTGTACTTTCACTATTTTTGATGCTGTTATCAGGAACTTCTAATACATGAGAAGTCTCCACATGTCAGTGACAAAAGTAGAGATGGGAGCAAACTGCCAGTTCGGTGGTTTCTGCCAGTTAGTTTCTTGGCCGAATGGATGTTTGGCACTTCCCAGCCTCACCTCACTCGCTCACAGGCAGCGCCCCAGTTTCCTTGGCCGGTCTCCTCCAAGGACTGTCCCTAAGTGGGCGAGGCGAGGCTGGGAGGCGCCAAACACCTGTTTGGCTGAGAAACGAACTGACACAAACTGCTGAACTGGCAATTTCTGCCCATCTCTAGACAAAAACAATTGAATGTAAAGCTTTCAGGTTTCTATCCCGATTCCTTTTACTGCCTAAGCATAACTAATAGATTCTCAATTACTGCCTTTGCTCAAGCCTAGTTGGTCAGGAAAGCTGAGCAGTGGAACACTAGCTTTCTTTTCACCCCCACCCCCACCCCACCATTTCTTCCTCAATTCCAAGACAGCAATAAGACAGTAAACAAAAATAAACAGAAGATCAGTAACACATTATTTAAAAAACCACCAAATCTCCCTTGACCACAAAAGTAGAGATCTTGAAAGCAACTGTGTGAAGACTTAGAACTGATCGATCTGGGTCCTCTTGCAGATACAGACCTGAACTTTAAAAGCACTGAATGTATAAGCTTCTGTAGGACAGATTTTAATCCAGAATAATTCTTGAGTGTTCCAGTATTCCTAAGAATGATGGTCAGAAAAGCTGAAGGCAGCAGGAAGAGAAGAAAACCAAATATCCAAAGATGGATTGACTCAATAGTCATAGCCTTACGTTTCCAAACACTGAGCAGGACTGTTAATGAGTGGATCTTTTGGAGGTAAATTATATACAAAGTAGGACTGTTAATGAGTGGATCTTTTGGAGGTAAATTGTTTACAAAGTTACCATTAGTCAGAGGCAAATGATAGTAATAATCCTTGAGTAAGCTTGATTGAAGAAAAATAAATACTCTAGAGTAATCAAAAAAACAAACAAACAAAAATATGCTGTTATGAAAACTGCAGACTGCTTCCAACATGGCACCCAAGTTCTAGACCAAAACTCCCATCAAAGTTAAGTTACCATTAGTCAGAGGCAAATGATACTGTAGTAACAATCCTTGAGTAAGTTTGATTTAAGAAAAATAAATACTCAAGAGCAATCCAAAAAGAAACAAACAAAAATCTGCTGTTATGAAAACTGCAGACTGCTGCAAACATGGCACCCAACTTCTAGACCAAAACTCCCCAAATCCCCTGGTAGTATTGTCAATGGTAAGTTACCATTAGTCAGAGGCAAATGATACTGTAGTAACAATCCTTGAGTAAGTTTGATTTAAGAAAAATAAATACTCAAGAGCAATCCAAAAAGAAACAAACAAAAATCTGCTGTTATGAAAACTGCAGACTGCTGCAAACATGGCACCCAACTTCTAGACCAAAACTCCCCAAATCCCCTGGTAGTATTGTCAATGGTAAGAATGACTGGAATTGTAATCCAAATGTAAACACGCATGAATCCTCAACAGCTAAACTGGGTGAACTTTGGCTCATCAGACCCTTCCAGGGATCATCAAGTCCAGCCCTTGACAAGGAGGCACAGTGGGGAATTGAACTCCCAGCCTCTGGCTCCACAGTCAGATCCTTAAACCACTGAGCTACTGCTAATCACTTCTGAGTATTTTATACCTACAAAGCCCTGAGAAGGGTTGCCATAAATCAGAATTGACTTGATGGCATATACCGTATTTTTCGCTCCATAAGACGTACCTTTCCATAAGATGCACCAATTTTTTAGGAGAAGAAAACAGGAAAATATAATCTGTTTTCTTCGCTCCATAAGACACACAGACTTTCCACCCCCCCTGTTTTGAGGGGGAAAAGTGCGTGTTATGGTGTGAAAAATACGGTAATTATTTATTCCTTAAGAGCAAGATTCACCACAGCAAGGAGAACAAGAATGAATAAATATGAAAGCACTGTAAATTATGGAAATAAGAAAAAGAAAACACAATTTTCACCTGCAGATGAATTTCCCTGATAGCATACAGAAATCCTCTGGAGAGCATTATTACCCCTTAAGGAAAAACTATGTAGAAAATGATAGTGGAAGCAGACTTCACAGCCTTTTGGAGTGAGGTCCACAGAGTGACCCTTTTTTGTTGGTTCTTCCCTTATATTTCCTGCATGCTTTTAGCTTTCGACAAAATAAGCGCAACTAAGTATGGACAGGGTTAAAAATGCAGCGATACTGCAGTATACTTTATGGACAAACCACCCTGCTTCCCGCTTTATGGCAAGAAAGGCAAGTTTCTGTTCATTTCCTAACCTTTATCATCTCTTCGTGAATCCCATAGTGCCCGTATGAACTGAAGTAAACATTTTCTTCATCCTCCTCTAAGTCCGCAATGGTATTGGCTGATGAGACACGCCTGACTTCTGTGTTCATCACAAAATCATGGGCAAACTGTCTGTAATCAATTTGAAACATACACTTGAGACAGAACGATAGGACTGTAAAAATACAGAAGAGTGTGTTGAGAGAAAGCATCTAGGTTTCATGGAGTGATCTTGCACCTGCAGCAGCCTGAAGCTCCCTCTGCTGGTTACTGCAAGGAAATCTACTGTGGAGGGGGTTCTCATCCTCCCTGCATGTCTCCCTGAGCATCTTTCTGCATTTCAGGCTTTCCACAACTCAAATTTAGTATATGCAGCTTGCTTGCATGAGCTCTTTTAAGTTGGATGTTTTCTTTAATCTTAAAAATTCAAACGATACCACAGTGAACAGTGTACACAATCCCAGTTAGGTGGTTTTACTTTAATTTTGTTTTGAAAGCTGCCCTTAAGACAGTAGGGAAAGGTTTCCATTATCTAAAAGGTATAAAAGATTTATAAAACATCACCAATTCTGCTGTCCAACTCTCTTGAGAAGAAATGGATTTGAAAATGCTGACCTTTCAAAGGCAAGAAACTAGCTAGAATGAAAGAAAATGCAGCTATAAAGATAGTACTGTGCTTTTCCGAGTGACCACATTACCCATTGAGGCATTCATTCTAAAACGCCTTCTAGGCACACAAAATTTTCTTATTTTCCAATTTGCTGTTGGAAAGACAATAAAAGCTTACAATTCAATAGCAGATATCTATATCGCAATGAGCCATTTAAAATTTGGCTTGGGGCCCCATCCATTTTACACTGAAGCAACTCATTTCCTCCCCCACTCCACATTCAAAGTTAAGGAGTGATGGACAATAATTGCTTTCTGCACTGGTTTTCACACCATGTTTTAGGGCTAAAATGCTTAAAGGGTTTATTTTGGGGAGGGGAGGGGGTAGACCAATTTGAAGGACAGAGACTACAGCCAAGAATCAGGCACATAAAACAATGGTGAATTACTGCAAAAAAACTACGTTCTTACAAGAGACCTTGCCAAAACACTCACTCTGGATTTGGCAAAAGTGAGTATTTTAAAACAGTTATTTATAACCCATATAAGCTACGGAAGCTTCCCTCTCCAAGGAACACATGACAGTTTCATATAAGGTACCTCCATTTGATTACTCTTTTGCTTCTGAAAGACTGGAAGAGTATCACACAAACAACTGCTGTATTGGTGATGCACTTGAATCCAATATTGTTTAAGATATAGAGCAGAAAGAGAATCGTGCTCTTTCCACTCCCTTGCAGCCATGAAACTGCAGTTCAATTGTTTGCGTAAACAACCCCAAGAGGCTCCTGCTGCTGCATTTAGACAGACAAATTAATGCTTTTTATTCATCTTTTAACACACCTACCATAATTGTTCTTGCTGTGCAATCTTTTCCCATTTCCATTTGGCTAATTTGTCCACAAGAATAATGTAAGTCTTGAAGAAACATGTGCTATGTTTAAAGTTACACTGTACGACTGAGTTGATAAACTTTTTTTTTTTTTGCTGCTACTGTCTATACTGTTCTGTTTTAAAAATGAGTTTCTGAAGCTAAACAACATATACTGGCAAAGAGTGATATAGCAGGGCACCTTGTATCTGTGACAACACATATATGTGAAGGAATCTTTTGTACTGTCTTAATCCATTCAATGAAACTAACATGTTACTTTGCAGTGATCTTGAAACAGTATTATAGACCTAGTTTAATCTAGTATGTTCAAGGTGGTTGCCAAGACTCTGAAATAGAAAACTCTCCTGTCAAAAGGGTACCTCATTTTCTGAAGATCATCTTGGGCTCTGGCCAACGCAGCTTCTGCCAATTCTGCCCTGTGCTCCGCATGTTGCAATCGCTCAAGAAGAGATGAGGTCTCAGTCAGACCATTAGGTACAGAGTCAAGTTGATCTTCTATATCTGGAAATGAACCAGGAGAAAGTGTCATAGAGTATGTACACATTAAGATTTACAGAATGTTTTAGATCCCAAGAATTGCATGGTTTCTACGAGAGATTTGATCTATGCATTTAAAGAACAACATGCTGCCCTCTAATAGACACACTACAAAAAGAAGGTAACATGAAAAACCTGCTCTAGAAGGAGTGACCCCTGCTGCTGGTATTTATCAAAAACTGCGGAAAGGAGGTGGTAGTATCTGCCTACAAAATTGATCAAAGGCCTTCACTGTTGCCATTCCAGGAAATTCTTCCATGTTACTTCTCAAAGAACTCTTCCCAAATCTTCAAACTGCACCAAAGGAAATATACCTAATTTTAAAAAGGGCCATAGTCAGACTCTGGGTTGGTTGATGTGATGGCTAGATGCTTGCCATAGTGCAAGCAAGAAATTTCCTTCATTTTTCTGCCAGCAACACTGATGAGGATTCCAAACATGAATGAATCTTATTGAGATATAATGCATAGGATGCAGCACAAAACTGGATAAGAGCAGAGGCAGGATCCTGTTGAGTAGCAAAATTAATATTCCCTTGAGCACGATCAGGTGGTATATAGCTCATCATGGGTTCAGGGCAGGTCCAACAGTAAGTAGCAGTTGGATTAAAGCACAGTGAAGTACTCTGAACCTGGGGAACCCACATTGAACCAGAGAATGGCAAAAAGATAATGGCTAGTGAAAAATGCCCCCATGAGCCTTGTCCTACATAGATAGTCTGAGCTACTGTGAGGTGGAAGCAAAATGCTGGATAGGCTCTTAGCAGAGCTTAAAATAAAAACATGCACAATTAAAACATAAACCTGTTAAACACAGGTAAAGGAAGATGAATAAAAACAAATGACTCCTTTCAAATGAAATTCAGACAGACACCAAGTCTTTCCCTGCTGTCATATAAATAATAGCATGGGAAATAGCCAGGCTAGCCTCTGCAAGTGGCAGCCAAGAAAACCATCTCTCTTTCCTATCAAATTTCCTTGGGATGAATCCTCCTGAAAGATCTGAAAGCCAAGGTGGACTAGAATATTGCTTGTAGAATAGAATATTGTTTCTGAAGCATAAATTGGAATGATCTATATGGATCAGTTTCCTCTGTAATACCTTCATTATTTCACATTCTTTCAGAAATGACAGAAGTACTTTTTATGAAGCACAAACATAACCTATTTTGTATCTAGTATGTCTGTTCGAAAGTACGAGAAGCTTTCCCCCACCAGAAAGACTAACCTTTACACTACACATCAGTAAACAAAACTTTCTGTTTTTAAAAATAGTGCTCAAATTTAAGGGGGGGGGAGAAAAAGAAATTTTACCAAACTGGAGTAACAAGTCATCTTCCAATGCAGGCTTCAAATATTTCTCTTCCACCCAAGGAAGTGGCGAACTGAGAGAATTCAGAATCTCTGCAGTTGGTTTCTGAAAAGATGAAAACAGATTGATTGATTTATTTGATTTATACCCCACCCATCTGGTCTAAAAGACCACTCTAGGCGGCTTCCAATATAGTAAAAACAGTGAAATAATACAAAAAACACAAACAATTACTGTACATAAATCATATTGTAATAAACAGAATACCACAATAGAATAGAAAATACATAAGGAGAGAATAAACAGAAAAGTCAGATATTAACTGGAGGGAAGGCCTGAATGTATAGCCATGTTTTTAATTGACTTTTAAAAGTGTCCAAAGTGGGGGCCGCGCGGATCTCAGGAGGGAGATGGTTCCAGAGGCGAGGAGCCACCGCCGAGAAGGCCCGGTTTCGTGTCCTTTCTTTGTGCACAATGTGTTAAAATATACCTGCAGCCATTGGTTAAGTCTTTACTTTAACCAGCTATATCTTCTGTGTTGAAAATGTCACTTTAGAAACATTTTTAAAGTACTGAATCCCGCCACTATTGCTATTTGTAGATTAGTTGCTACATTGAATGTTGACAATCCTGCATGCTGATACAATTAGCTTTTACTAATTGCCAGAAAATAATAATTAAATTGTTTGAGATGACAGACGAACCCCATGCAAGACACATACCTTTTTTAAAAAAAAATGTAGCCAAGTCTACCAGTACCTTGATTACTCAAAACAGTAAATCGGATATATAATTTCACTGAATTTTGCAAACAAACAAAAGTTTTATCTCTCTTATGCATCTTATTGCACCCAAATTGCTAGCTACTTTCTCATGTATCTCTAAGCTTTGTAACAGTATATTTTAACTGTCAGTGCGAGGTAAATATAATCTGAAATTTCCAAAGGCTATCCTATCGCAATGAAAATGATCAACTCACTCCAAAATATTAGCAGCCTCTAAGAAAACATTAATCTTAACTTTCAGCATGTCTGTAAGTAAATTTAGGTAGTAACTCTATAGGAAAGTTTAAGTATAATAAGCTCTTAGAGATAAACTACAATGTACTGCGTGGTTCTTCCTTCAACAGAAACATGCAAACTACAGAAACATTTCAGTTAGCAAACATTTGATGAACTTCTGTGTTGCCTAAATGAGTACAAACAAATGGGAAACTATGGCCATTGGAGATAATAACCTTATATAGAGATAGGCTGCGCATGTAATGTGAATCCATTTCTAATACCAATGACATTACACAAAAGGGACAAAGAAATACTCCTTTTTAGTATAGTTGTTGTAAATTCAAAGGTTTCTCAATCAGATGGTTGTTGCAGGTTTTTCGGGCTGTTTGGCCGTGTTCTCGAGGTTTTTCTTCCTAACATTTCGGCAGTTTCTGTGGCTGCCATCTTCAGCTGTGGAATCCCACAGCTACAAATACTAAACAATCCCACACACTACACCAGAACACAGACAGAGTTCTAGTTCCTGTCCTCTGAAGGTCCTGGCCACAGAGACTGGTGAAACATTAGGAAGAAAAACCTCCAGATCACGGCCAAACAGCCTGAAAAACCTACAACAACCATCGGATCCTGGCCGTGAAAGCCTTCGAGAATACATTTCTCAATCAGCTTTAACAATGTAAGGCTGTTTCCCCAGGTCACTGTCCAAATTGTGTCCAGCCAATCTTCTTTCATCTCACTCTCCTCTCTTGTGGGGTCTGACTCATGTTTAGCTTTCAAGTGAAAGAAAAACACTAGGATGGAAGGTGGAAAAGTCGTCATTTTGACCAACACCCTAAAGCATGAAATCTGTAACCCAAAAAGTAACTTTTCCAAGTTCTGTATTAAACATTAGAATGAACACTGCCATAGTTTCTATGGGGTGTAAGTAGTGGGAGAAGCTTGTGTTAATTGCTCCTTAGCTTCTGGCCTTAACCTCAAGCAAGAAAAACCTTCTGGCAAGCTGACAAAAGGACAATTAAGGGCTCACATCCAAACTCAGTACATATTGCATACACACAACTCACAAAGCTGACAACAGGTATGAGCACCACAAAATCTTACTACATATTTAAAACAAACAGAAGGGGCTGTTTCTCAGAAACCTGTTCCTGGATTACAGATAAATTTGTGTTCTTCAGATGACAAAAACATACTACTATTTAACTTTAGTCTTGTTGACTTTATAGAATATTTGGTAACTTACTTCCACCCTAATGAAGTTTATTAGCTTGATGTAGCTGTAGAAATCGAGTCCTGGAAAAAGGAAGAAAAAAAGTGATATCAGCATTTTAACTGATTTATCATGTGTACCTAAACACCTTATTCCCAAACAGTAACCCAACATCCTGATCTGTGCCAAACTACATACAAAAGTCCAACATACATCCACAACATCAAACTCAAAATAACACACAAAAATAACAGTAACAAACTAATCATGACCATAATCTAATAGAACATAAGAAAAACCCCAGATGACAACAGCTAGCTCAATTAAAAATTACATAGCATGGGTCAGGGAAATCTCTCATGTGGGGAGTTGGTCCTGAATGTCTCCTTGAAAAGCAATATTTTGACCTGCTTCCTGAGGGACAGAAGGGAAGGAGCTTGGCATACATCAGCAGGCAGCGAGTCCCATAATATCATGGCTACTAGTGAGAAGGCCCAGTTCCTGGTGGTGATTTTCGAGGCCTCCCTTGGGTTGCCACCCAGAACAACAAAGCCTGAGATGACTGGGTGGTCCAGGTAGAAGATCTTAGGGAGAGATACTCCAACAAATACTGAGGCCACAAACTGTTTAGGGCCTTATAAATTAGCACTTTGAATCTTGCACAGAAACAGACAGGGAGCCAATGCTGGCTTACCAAAATGGGGGAAGATATGATTGTGTGTAGAAACTCCTGAAATCAGTCTGGCAGCCACATTTTACATCTGCTGCAACTTCCATATTGCCTTCAAAGGCAGCCCCATGTAGAGGGAATTGCAGTTATTGATTGCCAGGGCACGAACAAGTATGGTCAAGGATCACCTGCCCAGACAGGGCTGTAACTGCAATTTGCTGAAGATGGAAAAAGGCAGATCTGGCAATGGCAAAAATTTGCTTCTCTACAGAATGTCAGATCCAGGAACACCCCTAAGACGTGGATCTGGCCCTTAAGGGAGAATGTAATATTTGTTCAGACTTGATTTGATCCATGACCCACTTACTTGTCTTTCTGGCATTCCATGGTATCCACAAAGCTCTCCTTCAACACATTTCAAACAAATCTTTTTTTTTCCTTTCAACATAATCCATTTTAAACAGTGTTTTTTTCCATAGGAAAAAGCAGTATCCAAACCTTTACAAAGCTCAAGTGACATTAACAGGAAAGCTCGTACATATATTTCAACCATTTCTGTAGTTACAACAAGCAAATTTCCACCACGGAAAGTAACTTGAGTACTACAAAAATATCATTTATAATACAGTTTTAATAATAAAAAGCCCAGTGGCACCTTAAGACAAACAAGTATTTTTTTAGAAGTAGCCATGTTAGTTTGTACAAGCGTACAGTGGAGTCTCGACTTATGTTCAGCTCCACTTACGAACTTTTCGACCTACAGACTTCTCCAGCCGCAAAGTTTCACTTCGACTTGCGGCCGGAGAATCGACCTACGGACCAGAAGGGTGAGGCACGGAAAGCGCCAAATTCAAATTTGGTGCTCTCCCCGCCTCCCCCTTCCAGTCTGTAGGCTGCAGGTCTAAGCCCCGAAAGCCCAAAGCTGACAGCGGGTGCAAGGCGGCTTTCAGCTTCCAAAGCTGCATGAGGGGAGGCGGGAAAAGCCGAAAGCTGCTCTGCGCCCGGTTGGCTTTGGGCTTTCAGGGCTTAAAAAACTGGACCCACTGGCGTCTTGTCAGGAGACAAGAGGCCAGTGGGTCCAGCTTTCTAAGCCCTCAAAGCTGGCAGCGGGGGCAGGGCGGCTTTCACTTCCAAAGCCGAGCCACGAGTGAGGGGGGGTGGGAAGGCACTCTGTGCCCGCTGCCAGCTTTCAGGGCTTAGAAAGCTGGACCCACTGCCCTCTTGTCTCCTGTCCCCAATGTGGGCACTGGGGATAGGAGACAAGTGGCCAGCGGGTCCAGTTTTCTAAGCCCTGAAAGCCCAAAGCTGACCGAGCGCAGAGCAGCTTCCCACCTCCCCTCACTCAGGGCTCGGCTTTGGAAGCTGAAAGCCGCTCTGCGCCCGCTGTTGGCTTTGGGCTTTCAGGGCTTGTGGGGGGGAGGGGTTCTTGGACTGGGTACGGATTAATTGGTTTTCAATGCATTCCTATGGGGGATGCATTTTCGACCGACGGACTTTTCGACCTACGGACTCTGTTCCAATACGGATTAATTCCGTAGGTCGAGACCTCACTGTATTATACCCCCCCCAAAAAAGTAATGTCAAAAATGTTGTGGTACATCAGAGACTAACCACCATACTTTAATATGACATTTATGGATTTTTTTCATGTATCCCCACCTAGTCATGGCACCATGAATAAATATGACAGCCATACATTGTATTTAATGTTAGTATTTGTGAGCCAATGGTGTAACACTATTAACATCCTGAAAACACTTACTTATCTTATTTTGGCAACTAAACATTCATGGGACCCCGCCATGGTGAGGGAAAGATGAAGAAACCAATCTTGAGGTAGGGCTACCAAAGAATCTTACCAGACCCTGAAAAACTGCTACAAATTAACACTGGGCTAGATAAACCAATGATGTAACTCAATACAAGGCTGCTGCCTATATTCCCATGGTACCACTAAACTCTTTGATGTTACTCTTGTAACATATTAACATAATATTACATTTCCACTGCAGTAGAGAGTTCTTTTTATTGTTCTGATTCAGTACCACAGCCTCCTACAGGCTCCAGAGTCTCAAGAAGCACATAGAATTCCTTCACTGCCAAGGAATGATCTATTTATTTTTCCACTAAAGCTCATGTCAAAATGCAAAATTCAATTCCTAAATTTGTAGACATTCTCAATATTTGAAGCTAGCTATATTAAGGGCCTCTTTTTTGACAACTAGTACATTTTAGTACAACATGCAACTTGCTTGCCACTGTAAGATGAATATAGAAATACATATTAATTTATTTGTTTCCCTATCTTGAAAATTCCGTTGAAGCTCCTACTTGGTAGAAAAATATTTATGTATAGCTAGAATGTATAGTAAAGCAGTAGGGAGGCTCTACTGACAGATGTCGGGGTCTAATACACTACACTACATCTTTCAGTGGACCAAGAAGGAAGATTGCTGCTCCCCACAACAGCACTCTTTTCACCCAAAATCCAAGATACTGCTATGAAGCATGAGTAACAATTCTGCTTTGCCATTTCCCATTTTTAGAACAAAGCAGTTTTTTTTTTCAAAATTCAGAAATAATGTGCCCATCTCTGGTATATGCTGATATCCGCCCCCCCAACGTTTGGTTAAATATTACTTTTCACTCATTAAAAGTCATTCATTGTTACTCTATCTTATTAGCTTGTGTCAATCTAACTAGAAAATTATGCAAACCGCAAAAATAAACTTACCATGTTTACGAACCAACATTCCAACATTGAACCCATGGTCTGATGTGCAATGGCTAAAAGCATCTTCCGCGGAACTGAAAAGTCTTAACAAATGACATACAAGGGTTTTAATATACAAATTCCTGGTGTGTTAATAAAGACAATAAAGCTAGAAAAATACGAAGGCATTAGGAAAATATGAGGCAGATTGACTCCATAAAAGAAGTCACAACCTTGAGTTTACAAGAGTAGAATAGAGCTGTTAAGGACATTTTGGAGGTCAATCATTTATAGGGTTGCCATTAGTCAGAGGCAACATGATGATACACAATACCAACATGTTAATACCTAGCTTTCTAGCAACGTCTAACTACATCAGAAAACACAGAGGCAACCAGCTACAAAAAATGATATAGAAAACCTTTATCCCAGTTTGGACAATTGCTAAACAATGATCTGTAGTGCACCAGCAGCATTTAAGTAAGTGATCTGGATGTGATACAACAATCCTAATGATACCATTTGGAGTGCAAGAAACCTTTGCACACAATAGTAAAAAGAAAAAAGCAGACAGGCTAGGATGAGAAGTGTACGCTACATGTGGAAACTAATGTACATGGCTATTCACATATCCAAGCTGAGCAGAAGACTGAAGTTTGCTTAGGAGCCACACAGCTCTAGCAGGCACATAGCCTGGACAGCTCTATCTGTGCTGCCTTTTCCTTCCCCCCCAAAAAGGAAGGGCAAATGGGAAAAGCTGGGCAGCACTACAGAGAGGAGTTAAAAGTACTTCTGAAAAGCAGTGCCCAGCTAACCATTTTCCTGCTAGCCTTTCCAATGAAGGCTGTTAGAGGAAGGGCTTGGTTATGTCCCAAAAGCACTGCCCCACTCAACCACTCTATCAACAAATGCTATGAAAAGAAGAGGGAAAGCAGATCCTTTGGTTATGTCCCAAAAGCACTGCCCCACTCTACCACTCTATCAACAAATGAAAAGAAGAGGGAAAGCAGATCCTCACCTGACAAAATATTGTGCTATGCACTGTCAAGTCAGAACCAAGACACAGCAATCCTAGTAAGGCTCTCAATTTATGGTTATGTCCCAAAAGCACTGCCCCACTCTACCACTCTATCAACAAATGAAAAGAAGAGGGAAAGCAGATCCTCACCTGACAAAATATTGTGCTATGCACTGTCAAGTCAGAACCAAGACACAGCAATCCTAGTAGGGCTTTCAATTTATGTGAAATATTCAAAGAGTGGTTTTATCAGTGCTACCACCCATGAGTTTCCATGGCTGGGGTGAGATCAGAACTCAGGTTTCCAGAGTCCAAGTCTGTCACTATACACTTGACTTTAGAACTGTCCATTACTTAATATGATAATTCACTTTAAAACAAGGCAGCAGCCAAACAGACTGCTATAATGTCTCCACCTACCCTTTACCTGAATTTGCATCTGCATGAGTCCCCCTCCATTTTGTGCCCACCTCCACAGATATGCTGGGCTACAACCACTATAATCCAGTATGTCCATATTATCTGGTTGGTCTAATCAAGGCAGAAAGGGTACAACATTTTAATGTTACTTTGTATCCCTGGCTTTTTTACACTCAATAACTTACATTACCAGCATGTCCCTATATAAAAATCAGCTTAAAACAATGTTTTGATACTTCCTATAGTATCAAAAAATTCAAACATAGGACCTCCAAAACCATTTGGTTAAACTTGTAATAGTTAGAACTGCTGGATAGCTCAAGGGTGTCGTCATCTGTCAGTGGAGCCAGAGGTTGGGAGTTCAATTCCCCACTGTTCCAGCAGCTACTTCAGTTCATAAAATACTGTAGAGCCTTCTGATTTAATAAGGATGATTCCCTCAGTTTTTGAAAGCTGATGCAACAAAAACTGGGAGCCTTGTGACACCCTAACAATGAGCAAATGTGATTTGGAATATCTTTTCAACAACTGCAACCGACTTGTTCAAATGCACAGGGCAGTTGGACTGGGGCTTACAAACTTTTCTGACAAATGAAACATGCCAGCATTTAAACTCCCACCGTTCCTTCTATCGCAGCAGACTACCAAATAACACAGCAATTCCTCTGAAATTCTCTGGAAAATGTTGCATCGTCAAAACAAATAATTCAAGCCGTTCCTTAGAACACAAGAAAACGGCAAGGTACTAGAAACAGAGGAACTACTGATGCTCTTGAAGTCAAAACACAAGACCGGGGGGAGGGGGCTTACACTGACAATCTGCCTCTGCCTTTATAGGCACAGGCAGATTGGAACTTATGTTCCAAACCGGGGCTTTTCCTCCGACTTCCCCGAACCGAACCTTTCGCAGAAAAGGCAGGGTGTCCTCAGCGCAGATCCCGCGTCGTCGCCTTCTTCTTCCCAGGCGTCCTCACTCCCGTTGTCAGACAAACAAGGCTCACTCCCTGAACCATCTCCCGCCTCTGCCGACGCGTCCTCTGCGTTAAGAAAAGGCAGAAATAAGCACCACCACCTCCATTTTAGAGACCTCTCATAGGGTCGCCATAACTCCGAGGCGAATGGACAGCGAGTAACAAACAACGACAAGGGTCCACCTTGCCCACACTTCCTCAGAGAGAGAGAGAGAGAGGCGGCACCAACCTACCAATTGCTGTGGATCCCCGGGAGTTCATAACAGCAGTCTATTAGCGCTCCCACAACGACGCCAAGAAAGCTTCCCGCGCCCACGATCCTCGGCAATCCCGCGTTCCACGTGCAACATGAACTGTGCCCACACTTCCGGGTTGCGCTTCCCGCCGCTAACCAATGAGAAAGAAGAGTGTGCCAGAGGGCGGTAACGAAGCAGAAGCCCTCTGTATGGTAACCGTAATGAGCCAAACTTAACCGCTGCAACCGCGAACGATGCATGCGCTCAGTTCATGGGGGGGAGGGACTGAAAAGGGGGCGAGGGCAAGGAGTGGTTTCGGTTCGTCGCTGCAGAAGAGACCGCCAAACAGCCGGCACTCGTATGGCCAGACTGCTGTGCGGATGGGGGGGGGGGGAGGCAGTTGCATTAACGTCCACGTAAGAAACTTCTCCAAGCCATAATAAGGCAGAGACGTTGACAGGAAAACGATGCACATTCTGTGCGTGCCAGATCTTTCTGGGAGTTGGGGAAAGCTTACCCTCCCCAGCTGCCTCTCTGCACACTTTCCCACCAGCTTGCTGGTCGTCAGGAAGAGACCTGTCGCAATTTGGAGTTTGACCACTAGATGGCGCTGCCTCGGAGTTGTCTTTTGGCAGCAAGAGGAGGGCGACGGGGCCTTTGAGAGAGGATGCTGAAATTTGGACCGCACTTGCCTTTAGAAGGGTGCAAAACCATCTGTTGTTGGTACGTGTGGCTGGAAGGGCATGAACTCACCCGTTTTCTGTGCATGTACAGCCTCCAGCCAGTTGCTCCTACCTGAGCAGAAGGAGACATAGCAGGCAGTGCAGAACTAATATGGACATCAACTACCCATATCTAGACTTTCTGGCCTGTTTCCTTTCTACATTCCAAATTTTACTAACGGGACAAGGAACGCCCTGGCACCAGCTTAGCAAATTATGGCTCTGCCTTTTGTACTACGATTCCTAGAAACTCCTAGCCAGCGTGACTAGCCGCTGCGCTGACTGGAGGATTCTGAGAGGTGTCGTTTCTTTTTTTAAAAAAATGCTTCTAAACTCTGCTCATAGCAATAAACAAGCTAAATGAGTCATTCTCCTCTCAGAAATGATGCAGCTAAAGCTGATCCAAACAAGCAAAGTTGAGTTTCCCATGGCGACCTAGAAAGTGAGAGATAACAGGGCAGGAGCAAACAGGCCCAGTGTTAGCCCCTGAGTTGACACAAACATGCACCAGCCCCCCAGGAGTGTTAGTCAACACAGCATCCTTGCTTTCTTCTAATCTTTCATTAATTGGAAGACACCTGTCTTGAGCAAGTGCAGGACCATAGATACTTGTTTTATATTAAAACTAGCCAATGGAGCTGCCTTTAGCCAGATCTTTAAGGAAGGTCTTCTTTTAGTACCATCACAATTAGAGGCACATTTAGTGTGGAATCAAGAAAGAACCTTCACAATGCCCTCTCTCAAATTTTTTGCCAAAGGAGAACAGCAGTCCTTTATGTTATACTTCTGTCAAGGCAAAGAGGTTTTTATTCAGACAGGCCTTTGATCTTCAAAATGTTGACATGTTGGCTGAAGCATTATCAAACAAAGTGATGTCCTGCCATTTTAGTTTGGTTTTGTGCTTTAATAGGAATTGTTTTTTAATAGTTTATGGCACAGAGCTGGAAAGAGAGGAAATAACTTTCCCTGCATCTAGTCCCACAACTGCGGCCACCATAATCATATACAGTAATCCAGTATTAGAGCTTTATAGAGAAAACATGCTTTGCAAAATAACTCAGCAGTTGTGACGAAGAGAGAGGGCCACGAGCACCTAAGACAGTCAAAATCAGTTAGAAAAACTTGTTTTGACTCAAAAACTGAGATGGTTTTCCTTTTCCACTTACTCCAAGTTAACTACACTTCCTCCTCATGATCATTTAGCTAACTGGCAGCATCCACCAGTTGGTTCCAAGGTCCTGTGGCCCATCTCCTCCATTTTCTTCATGCAGACTGTTGGCTAGGTTTACTCTATCACAGCAGTGGAGCAGTGATGGAGTAAAAAGGTAATAGAGCTACCAGGATCTCCTCCTTGACCATCCACTGTTGGCACAAGCTCTCCACTGCCTAAGATGGAAAGAGAAGCACCTCCCTCACCCGCTGATATGCCCTCTTCTGCTGCAGTATGGCTACACTCGCAGGGAGAAGAAGCCAGCACCTTCTTTTGTCAAGATTCCTGTCTGCCTCTGTAGCATGGCGACCTGATTACTTGATCATTGTCTGGATCTAAGAAGGCAGCACTGGCAACATTTGGCTCATTTGGCTGTGAATTGGTGATAATCCATTTTAATCTGGCTTGAGGCCTGATCATGGAACAGAGACTGCTCTGTTAACCTTGGTGGATGACCTATGCTGGAAATTGGGGGGGACGTGTCCCTATTGCTTCTGCTGGACCTCTCAGGGGCTTTTGATACCATCAACCATAATATTCTTCTGGCTCGTCTCTCTGGGATTGGACTTGGAGGCACTGTTTTATGGTGGCTCCGGTCTTTCCTAGAAGAGAGAACTCAGAAGGTGGTGCTGTTCAATACTGTGTTCAACTCCCTGGCCACTGGCCTGCAGGGTCCCTGAAGGTCCTGTTTTGTCTCCTATGTTATTTAATATCTACATGAAATTACTGGAGGATAATTGTGGTTTCGATGTCACCAGTATGCAGATGACACCCAACTCTATCTCTCCTTGCCATCTAAATCTTAGGAAACTATTTTGGTTCCGGTTCAGTGCCTAGTATCAGTAATGGACTGGGTGAGGCTGATTAAACTGAAATTTAATCAGAAAGACGGAGGTACTCCTGGTCAGTTGAAAGGCAAATGTAAGAAAGCAACAGCATTTTAGTGTATGTGTAATAACTTCTCCCAAAATAGACAGTGTGCTGAACAAGCGCCCCGACAACACCAGCAGTGCCTCACTGTCAGCTAGAAGTGACCAAATTTTATGCCATTTGCCTTCCACATGTGTAACAAAGCAGCAATCAACATTTTATTGGAGCAATCTCTGAGTTTTGTACATTATGTATTTTGCAACACTATTTGCCTGTTTGATGGAGATGAATTCATGGCTTGTAAAAAATTGATTCTTCATGCTCTTATGGTCGCTAAACAATTGATATTGCAACATTGGAACAATAAAGGTGCACCCTGTATTCCTCAATGGACATATACAGTAGGACCGTTGAAGTCTTTGAACATTTTTGGGTATGACATATAAACAACATCGGGAAATGGAAACCTACCTGGATGTTTGGTCATTTTTAATTGATAGGGGTCCAGACTTTGTGACTTGCTTTCAGTAGTTAATACTACTGTTTTTCTAATCTCTTTGACCCCTTTTTCATTTTCTGCTTTGTTTTGGGTTACTTGTCTGTGGATTATTATTATTATTGGCTTTTATTACTTAAGCACAGTAAAAAATAAATAAAATGTAAATGATAGCAATCCTAAATGTGTGATTTTTTATTTTATTTTATTTTATTTTATTTTGCTGGACTGCAACTCTGATCAGGACTAGCCAACAACATCTGGAGGGCATACTTTGCCCACTCCTACGGTAGTGTTTCTGTGTTCCTTTCCTACTATATTAGCAACTTCGAAGACATCTAAGGTGAGGGAGGTTAAGATGGGGGAGTTAACTGCTAATGATCAAAGACAATGAAAACAGTCACACTGTCTATTTGAAGAGCGTAAGTGGCTGAGTGAAGTCTGCTTCCAAGGACAATTACTGCATATTTTTCTTTTCCTTTTTGAGATGTCTTTCTCAGAGCTTCACTTTATTATAGTAAGTATAGCTTCGTCGTCGTTTAGTCGTTTCTGACTCTTCGTGACCCAATGAACCAGAGCATGCCAGGCCCTCCTATCTTCCACTGCCTCCCGAAGTTGTGTCAAATTCATTCTGGTAGCTTCGATGATACTGTCCAACCATCTCATCCTCTGTCGTCCCCTTCTCCTCTTGCCTTCGCACTTTCCTAACATCAAGGTCTTTTCCAAGGAGTCTTCTCATGAGATGGCCAAAGTATTGGAGCTTCAGCTTCAGGATCTGTCCTTCCAGTGAGCACTCAGGCTTGATTTCTTTCAGAATGGATAGGTTTGTTCTCCTCGCAGTCCAGGGGATTCTCAAGAGCTTCTTCCTGCGCTAAAATTCAAAATCATCAATTCCTCGCCGGTCAGCTTTCTTTATGGTCCAGCTCTCCCTTCCATACATCACTACAGGGAAAACCGTAGCTTTGACTATGCGGACTTTTGTTGGCAAGGTGATGTCTCTGCTTTTTAGGATGCTGTCTAGGTTTGTCATCGGTTTCCTCCCAAAAAGCAGGCATCTTTTAATTTTGTGGCTACTGTCTCCATCTGCAGTAATCATGGAGCCCAAGAAAGTAAAATCTGTCACTGCCTCCATATCTTCCCCTTCTATTTCCCAGGATGTGATGGGACCAGTGGCCATGATCTTCATTTTTTTGATGGTGAGCTTCAGACCATTTTTTACACTCTCCTCTTTCACCCTCATTACAAGGTTCCTTAATTCCTCCTCACTTTCTGCTATCAGAGTGGTATCATCTGCATATCGGAGGTTGTTGATATTTCTTCCGGCAATCTTAATTCCAGCTTGGGATTCCTCCAGTCCAGCCTTCCGCATGATGTATTCTGCATATAAGTTGAATAAGCAGGGGGACAATATATAGCCTTGTCGTACTCCTTTCCCAATTTTGAACCAATCAGTTGTTCCATATTCAGTTCTAACTGTTGCTTCCTGTCCCACGTATAGGTTTCTCAGGAGATAGGTAAGGTGGTCAGGCACTCCCATTTCTTTCAGGACTTCCCATAGTTTGCTGCAGTCCACACAGTCAAAGGCTTTTGCATAGTCAATGAAGCAGAAGTAGATGTTTTTCTGTTCCTCTCTGGCTTTCTCTATAATCCAGCGCATGTTTGCAATTTGGTCTCTAGTTCCTCTGCCCCTTCGGAATCCAGCTTGTACTTCTGGGAGTTCTCGGTCCACATACTACTGAAGCCTACCTTGGAGGATTTTGAGCATAACCTTGCTAGCGTGTGAAATCAGTGCAATTGTATGGTAGTTGGAGCATTCTTTGGCAGTGTCCTTCTTTGGGATTGGGATGTAGACTGATCTTTTC